GTAAATCAGAATTTATGGTCTTATTAGGTTTTAGATTTGTTATTTCTTTAATTGTTTTCCAAAGTATTTTTGAATTCTTATTTGCTTTATTTAATTGTTCTCTCTCAAATTGTCTTTTAAGTTTTTTTAGTAGGTTGTTACAGAAATTTCTGTATCTTTTATAGGTAATTACTAAAATTACATTGTGAGGATCCGAACGCAGTTGCATTTGCAATTTATTTCTGTTTCTAATGCACCTTAAAACACCAGGTGTAATCCAAGGTTTAATGGTGCGTTGTGATTTTGGCTTTCTTTTTGTAATTTTACTCTCTGTTAAGGATTCAGATAAGCTTTTTATAAGTTTTTCGGCAACTACATTCGGGTCGTCACAAAATAATAATGTAGAGATATTCTTCTGCATTAATATTGAGAGCGCTCTTTCGTAGTCTACAAATTCTACTGTTTCCGATACATTTTGCTTTTGTTTTATTTTACTTAATTTCAAAAAAATTGTTGAATGATCAGTAGTACTTGTATTTAAGATTGCTATATGCGAAGAAAATTTTCTTTTGTCTAATTTTAACATAAAATGGTCTAAACAGCTAGCGCCTCTAGTCGGTAGAGAGTGACCAGGTAGCATTCCATGAGTTGACAACATATTCAAATAATTATCCCTATTATTAGTTTCATTCGATCCTTCGTTTTGCTTAGGAATTAGGTTTATATTAATATCACCCGTTATTATTATGTTACGACATGACTTTATTGTGTCCAAGTAAGAACTAATAGAGTTGATAAAGTTTGTCGCATTTGGATTCGACGGAGAACGATAAATACATAAAATTGTATGCTCAAAAATATTTATATGTATACAGGAAGCATGATCCAATTTCACCTCTTTCATAGTTGCCTTAAGATTATTTTTGACATAAACAACTACACCATCATTTTGATTTAGATTAAATTTTGTTGCAAGTGATGTATAGTTAGATAAATGGGGTAGCGGTCTGTCTAAAGCTAAGTCTACACTCGGTTAGCATAAGAACATCAACTTCAAAATTAAGGTGCGATAGTGTAGATTCAAAGTCATCAATATTTTTGTAAATACTACGAATATTTTGGCATATTAAGGTTAGGTCATTTTTGAAAACATTTATATATTTTGTTAAATCCTGTATATCACATTGAGTAGAGTTCTCTATTTTTGAATCGTCCATGTCTTGTATAGTAGAAAATGTACTGTTCATTCTACTTTTATAAAATAATAAAATGCATTAGCAATTTCGTTAAAGAGTTTGTTGAATATTATAAATAATTTAGTAGAGGGTAATTTTGCGAAGTGTTTAGTTCGATGTGTATATATAAAAAGATTAAAATAAAAGTTTTTATATATGTATAATAGCAACGTAATGTGCAGGAGGGTAGGGTGACAGAGGAACCTAAGAGAAGTAGCAATAGTTACAGTAGTCTGAGTAATCTCGAACTGTTTGTTAAGATATGACTGTGTTATATTACTGGAAGATGAATGTGTGAAAGTGTATCTGAGTGATTGCCTTTTTACATTTGTGTGGTGAACAATTAAAAACAAAAAATAAATATACGAAAACACGATAAAGCTTACTCTAATATAAACGAAGAGATTGCATGTATATTGTAGAACGGCTTTTAGTCAGGTGTCTATCTTCAGCTGCTGGATTTGCGATTCATTTTTAATTAGTATTATTTTGGAGTTATCGTCTTTCCTCAAGTAAACCTTCCCGTAAGATGTCCAACAAAATTTATACGAATGTGTCTTGCTAAGGTCGCGTGCAAGAAAATAGAGTCGAGCAGCTTTAGCTGTTAACTGCTCTGATACAAAGATAGGATTATTTTCTACACCTGAAGACTTAAGTCCTAAATGATGAGCACTGAGTTTTGATTTATTTTTTTTGTTGAACTCCTTACATTTTTTCAAAAAATAATTTTTTTGTATTGTAGATAATATCTCCACAATAATAGGAGTGTTCTTAAATCTTCTCTTTTTCCACGGACTCTATACATATCCTTAATATCTGAACATACCATTTGGCAGCCGATAGTGTTGGATAGACTTAAAACCATTTCAATAAGGTTTGTTTTACTCTCGTCGTTCTTTCTTGGGACGTTCTTGATTTCCAAATTTGTTTTACGTCTATCTTTTTGCATGTCCTCTATTTTATCTTCCAAAACCGCTATATAGTTCCTGTCCTCCTTAATTTGTCCTTCTAGCTTAGAGATCCTTTCTTGAAATTCCTTGTTTTGTTCTGTCAAAAAAGTAATAGAATTTTCGATATTTTGGTTAGTTTTTTGGATTTCTTTGAGAATGCTTGCATTTTTTTGAAATTCAAGATTTTGAGAATGCATAAGCGATAAGAACATGTTCTTCATTTCTTCTTTTAAATTAGCCAATTCCGTAGTGTAATCTTCATCTCTTCTTCTCTTTTTCCGGGCAGTTAAAAAGTTTGGTGTGGTGGTTTGATGTGCAATTTCCACTTCTGTATCTGACAACGATTTATTCATGGTATCCATTTGCTCACGATTAGGAGACTATAAGTGAATAGAAGTTAGTTATGCTCTTCAATACGTAATCGCAAAATGGTGCAAAAAACAGTGCGGCAGCAATGTCCTATGGCAAGCAAGGGGTGGAGTCTCGTTTGAGTGGGTTGGACTAAAACGCCAAAATGGCCGAAAAGTGCATATGCAGATAGGCTAAGCGCATACGCAGGTTAGTCAATGACGACATAAAGTATGTCCGCAAAAGGGGGATGCGTACTAGGCGATCAGAATATAAGGTTTGACTCACAGTTTTGCTCACCACCACTGCTTTCTGGACTCCTATTTTTTTTTTCTCGAATTATCAACACAGATTTGATAATTTAAATTTGAAAATATAATTGACTTAGGTTTTACAAACGAGTACACCTTGAGGCGGTCCAGGAGGAAGAGGAAATTGCTTAAATTAATGTTTTCAATTTTGCTATATAAAAAATTTAGTGCATAGTGTATATTTTATACGTGGTAGAGCCACGTTGCAGCTATACTATGGTTGCAGCACGAATGAGTCAGCTCGACCGGGGAAGAACCACGCTCTCACAGAATACCAGCGTAAAATACCAGCTTAATACTGCTGTGTTTCGTTTGGTGAGTGTAGGAATCTGGAGACCATTTTTTTTACTGGAAATGACGCATTCCATCGTGAGTCCTCTGGCGTTAGTCCTCTGGCGTGACAACGTATCTGCGTTTTTATTCTTATGCGAGGATAAATGTAGATGTCTTTGGGCCACAGTATCCGCTTACCATCGGTGGACTATGTGCTCCTTTGTCACCTTTTTTCTATAAAAAAATCATTTCATAACGATAATCAAACCTTATCAGCTTATCACGTTAGTAGTTATTCCTTGTTTTTCAAAAGAAGCAATGATGATAATGATGATCAATCATTCTATTTTGGTTTATTAGATTATATAGATTTGAGGTTTAAACAGCATACAGATTTAATACAGATTTTAGCAGTTTCTAATACAGATAAAAGGTTCAAGGCATCTGGCAACACTGGCCTAGGGCAGTCTCGCTCGGGCGGTCGGACAGTGTACACCTCTCTAAGTACGTCGTTACGCTGTCGGTCGAATAAACGAGGCTTTCAGTATACTTCTAGTGTTTTCATTTAGAAAGTTGAAAATGAGTAATCACCATGAAGGAAAAACATTAGTCGGCTGCGCTGACGTCACACTTTTTAAAAATACAAAGGAGCTCGGTCTTCCGTTATATACAATATAGAGGCAGTCGCAATAAATACAATATTTGATACAAGATGTGACGTTGAAGGGTATGTGCATGTCGTGGTGCAGTCTTTGCTTGTTGGTGGTAATGGTATGTTACGCTATGGTGTGGTGTGTATTTTGGGCTGTGGTGGGTGAACATTGGGGTGTAGTGGGTGCATGTTTGGTTTGGTGGTTGCATGTTATTTGTGGTATGTAAAATCACCCAACATGCCCCAATGTTGGATGATTTTTGAGATGTGGTGGATATACATATGTGGTGTGTGGTGTGTGCAAATCGGTATGATTTTGGTGAATGTTGGGTGCGGTGGGAATATGTCGTATGTTTATTTTTTAATGGAATATGAATGTCTAACGAGCACACAGTCCACCTGATAGCAAGTGGATGTTGTAGTCCATAAAAATCTACATCTATCCTCGATTTAAAAACAAAATACAGATCCGTTGTCACTCCTGAGGACTAAGATGGAATACCTCGTTTCCAGTAAAAATGGTCTCCGGTTCTCTACACTCATCATACGAAACACAGCAGCATTCAAATGCTATTTTACGCTGGTATTGTGTGAGAGCCTGGTCCTTCCCCGGTCGAGACGATCCACTCGTGCTACAACCATTCAAAAATAACTGCAGCATGGCTCTGCCACGTATAAAATGTATGTTGTATGTATTGTGCGTGAAGGGGTGAAATGTATGCGTGTATGAGTGCCGGGTTATACGTGTATGCATGTGGTGTGCGGTATGTGCATGTCGTGGTGCAGTGAGCGCGTGTGCATGTGGTGATGCGGTGTGCATGTTGGAATACAGTATGCGTGTTTTGATGTGGCGTGCACGTTGTGGAGCGGTGTGCATGTCGTTGTGCAGTGAGCACATGAGCATCTGGTGATACGGCATGCATGTTGTGGACTGGTGTGTATGCTGTGATGCGGTGTGCATGTTGAGACGCGGTATGCGTGTTTTGGTGCGGCGTGCATGTTGTGAAGCGGTATGCATGTCTTGATGCAGTGTGCACGTGTGCATGTGCTAATGCGGGGCATGCATGCTGTGGACTGGTGTGCATGCTGTGATGCGGTGTGCATGTTAAGATGCGGTATGCGTGTTGTTGTGCACATACATATGGTACCACTGAGGTGGCCAGCAGTACGGGGCCGGCAGTGTTGAATGTTGTAGCATGTGTGTTGCGGTGTGTGCATGTTGTAATGCGGTGTGCATATTGGGGTGCAGTACATATGGCGCCGCTGACGGTGGCCAGCAGCACTGGCCCGGAGACGGGCGCGGCGGTGTCGGCGTGCTGCGCGACGAGCGAGCCGTGCCGCATCACGTTCACCATGTCGCCGATGTGGAACTGCCCCATGTAGCCCATCTGCTGCCGCTCCTCGTCCGTTGTCGCCGCGCTATACACACAAAATCCTAGATAAACTAGCGTGTACATTTAGATAGTACTCTTTTACATTATAAAGGAAAACTCTCACCACTCCATTGGTTGTCTGATAGACAGTGGCGTAGCATGAGGGGGAGGGGAGGCAGGGAGGGCATGCCACCGGGCGGCATACGAAATGGGGCGGCGGCAATCGCCACGATTTCTTTAAATGGAAATTTAAAAAAAATGCTTCAAATCTCGCCTGCAATGTTACGTGTCAAGCGAAACCGTAAGGTTGCGAAAGAGAGGAGGCGAGACGAAGTCGAATGTTGCCAAAGTGTTCTCGATAATATGCCGCCGGCGCCGCCGCGGCGGTGGTACCGAGGTTTCGCGAACGCGAACAAACCAACAAGCGACAGCGAGTACTCAGTTATGCAATCAAACAAAATTATCATTATAATTACAGCCCTTCACAAGTCCATTCTTGACATAGATCTACCCCAAGGAATGCCACAATGGGTCCCGAGTCATCTGCATCCATCGAGTTGCCGCATGTCCAGTTCGTCACTTCATCTAGGAGGAAGCCCTACACTTCGCCTACCGGTATGAGGCCGCCGCTCGAGAACCTTTCTTCCCCATCGGTTGTCGGTTCTTCGAGCTATATAGCAGATCTATTGCCACATCAGCTTACTAATCCGTTGGGCTATGTCGGTTACTCTAGTTCTACAGCGGATATAATCGTTTTTAAGTCTATTACGCAGAGAAATTTCTCCATTGCTCGCTGAGCGACCTTGAGCTTCATATGGTCAGCAGTGAAGGACCACGTTTCAGATCCATAGGTCATCACTAGTCACGCACTGATTGTACGATCTTATTTTGGTTTTGAGGTATGCCTAAAGGTCGAAGTTGGACATACCTGGTCGGACTATTTGTTTCAGGTAAACATACTCGTCAACAACTTCGAGCTTAGAGCTCCCAACGACTAACGGCATAGGAGTGACATGGAAGTTTCACATGACTTTTGTTCTGTCTATGTTCATCTTAAGACCTATCCATTGGGAGACACTATTGAGGTCATTGATCATAGTGCTTAGGACCTTCAGCAATTCTGCCGTAAGGACTATATCGTCGGCAAACCGAGGGTGAGTGATGTACTCGCCATTGACGTTAATACTGTATCCTTTCCAGTCCAGTGGCTTGAAATAACCCCGTCTTCCACCATGCAGAAGGTTCGGTGAAGAGTTTCTAGGTAAATACACTCACGTCCCACCCTGTCTTACACCGCATCTCAATCTGCAGTTGGATAGGTTTCGTACTCTGGTTCTGTACTCGGATAGCCATCGTAGTCCTACTGTACAAACACTTCAGCACTTCGATATACCGACAGTCAACTTTGCACCGCTGAAGGGACTGAAGCACCGCCCAAATTTCTACGGAATCAAAGGCTTTGTCATAGTCCACATACACAAGACAAAATGGCAGATTGTACTCCTCGGTCTTCTGTACAATTTGCTGAAGGGTATGTACGTGGCTTATGGTGCTAAATCCTTTTAGGAAACCGGCTTGTTCGGGAGGCTGGAAGTCATTGAGTCTGCATGCGAAACGGTTCGTAATGACCTCTCAAAACAGCACGTAGACGCGGCTCAGAAAGGAAAACGGTGCGTAGTTCTTGAAGAAAGCTGGATCGCCTTTCTTGAGGAACAAGACCACCGCACTTCTGCTCCACGCCTCCGGAATAGTGTCACCATGAAGGACGTAATTAAAGAGATTCTAAAGGACTTCAAGAACTGGTTTTCCAACAGCTTTCAGAAGGTCCGTTGTAATTTTATCTTCACCTGGGGCATTGCCGTTTTTAAAGTGTGAAGAGCCATTCTTATCTTGCTCAGACTGACGTCCAGGATATCATCGGTATAGCGTCTGTTACACTTGCTCTCCGTTACTCACACTTGCGTGTGGCTCCAACGACGACGTGTTCAGCTGCTGCCCATATAACCTCTTAATCTCACTCAAAATCTCTGACAAAACAGTAACAATCCTTATATTCATTATGCAAAGACTTATTTCAGAATGTATTTAAACAACGACACAATAATTCGTAATAAGACTTTGAAAGTTTCAAGTGTAGTGTAAAGTATGAATAGTAAGTCCGAAGTATGATCCTGTTCTCAGAGAGCATTTAGTAAGAATAATAACTTAAGTATAACTTTTTATTTCTTTTAATTTTATTAAGTTAAGCTCTCTATTCTAGTTATACTTTTTTGGAATACCTGTAAAGGTTGCTAAGTGATGAACACTATACTATAATTTAAGGATACAATTGTACAATGAATAGGCAAACAAATACTTCAAATCTTGTTTTTATTATTTAATTTACAATTTACCATTGCGAATCGCGATTTAATAAATCGCTCTGAAGAAATAGGTAGGTAGTGCAAAGAACAAATAAGCCCGAAATACGATACCTAAATGAAATGTGATTGTATTCTAATTAGTTAAAAATCTTGTAAACAAAGTTTTAATTTTAGTGCTTTGCGTTATTATAACTTAAAATATTTTAATTACAAAAGACATGTAAGTTACCTACTTAGATAGTGAAGTAAATTTCAACAAAGTTTTGAAGTGAAGTACTTAGGTATTACTTCTGTATTTAAATTATTACTTAATTTTTTTTGCTTTAAGTATTTATTTAACAAAAAAATTAAATAAATGTACTTTTCATTATCCTTAGGTAACACAAACAATGATATATCTGAATCCTTTTGTTTGCTCATTAAGCATCCATCCACGTAACAATTATAGTAGGTTCGAAGTTTTGCCATTATAATTTATCAAATAGATGGGTTAGGATATAAAATATACGCATATATTATTTTTAAACCACATTAAAAAATTTGAACTGTTTTATCATACAATTAAATATACAAAACACTAAACAAAAATTACAACAAGTGTTTACAAAAAACTATTTACGTAAACAGCGTTAAAAATACATCAATCGCCTACAATGCGCTTGCCCCGACTACGTATTACACCGTCGGTGACTCGCGATTTTGTGTAATTACTTCACGCAGGTAGCATGAGTGACAGAGGCCTGGTTCGATTTTGTAATACGAGCTTTAGGTGGTTTTTCTAAAGTTAAAATGTCCATTTTTAATCGTTTGTTTAAGATCAGCTTGCACCATAACTAAACCGTCTACCTTGAAGATTTAATGCGACATTTAATGACATTGTGGTCTATAGAGGTCAAGTATTTACTCAGTTGTCACTTTCACATGTATTTAGTAAAAAATGATACATAGAACTATTTTTGAAATATATTTCTATAAATTAACGAAGACATTTATAACGAAGATTGGTTTACCGCTTAGTTAGCAGTTAGCATGTGCAGAGTTCACCTAGGCGCAACACGTGCAGTGATGGAAGTGAGGTGCGCGTTAAGCTATTTAAAACGCAATTCAAGAATACAGAAATGTTACCTTGAAATATGATTTAAAAAAGATTAATGAAGAGATTAAAAAAAAGTGTTCTATCTCAGGGACTATATGGTAAACTTAAATTTTGATTTGATCCCGACAAATTAAAATTTTCATTGCAATTTTAAGTATTGATATAGCACGTGTTTGAAGTAGTTAAAATATTTCGAATACCTGTAAAAGGTGAATTCAACACGTACTTTATAGAAAAATCCTATGAGTTATTAAAAATGATTCAAGAACAGATCAAGTCCGTCGACACGAATTATGACAGCGTGGCAGACTGTTTCTAAAATTCTCTCAGAAATGAGAAAAGACCTGTACTTACCAGTCTTATGGGTTATTAGTATACTTATTATTTAAGTACTGACCTGTCCTTTTGACAAACGAAGAGGTTGAAGCTGTTCTCAGCGCCGAGGAATGTGTCGTCGTCGAGTATCTCGACCGCTGTCATCCAATTGGGGCTGTAGTCTCGCGCTATTTCTTCAAAACTACCTTCCATCTAAACATGTCGATGTGTGTGAGATTTAAGTACCAATACCGTGCGGTGGCAGCGTCAGATAATTCATTAACCCCATTTTGACCCCTTGAGATACACCGTGAGCCATAAGATACTTTTGGCCCCCGATATATCTCCAAATTTTTCATGACATTTTTTGAGTGCATCATCGAACATGCTTCAGTTACCAATGTATCTATTAATGTTTTCCATTATGTATCTTCTGATATGGTATTGTAACATTTATTTTTAAAAAACCAACGAAGAAAGAAGAGAATTTCTTACGGCGTTTTTTTCCGGTCAGAGGAACTTCATCAAATATGCAAAATAATCATATTTGACATCATCATCATCATCATTACAGCCCTTCACAAGTCCACTGCTGAACATACGCCTTCCTCAAAGAATGCTATAAAGCACGGTCCTGAACCACCTGCATCCATCGACTTCCTGCATGTCTTACCAGGTCGTTCCTCGATCTAGTGGGGGGTCAACCTACACTACGCCCACCGGTACGAGGCTGTCAATCGAGAATCTTTTTTCCCCAGCAGTTGTCGGTTCTTCGAGCTATATGACCAGCCAATTGCCACTTCAGCTTACTAATCCGTTATGCTATGTCGGTTACTCTGGTTCTACTGCGGTTATCCTCATTTCTAAGTTTACCACGCAGAGAAACCCTAGTTTTCAGGTTTTGAGGTACACACACACATACAACACACACGGCGCGCACACACACACACGCACACACACACGCGCACACACACACACACACATACACACACACACACACACGCACGCACGCACGCACGCACGCACCCACGCACGCACGCACGCACGCACACACACGCACGCACGCACGCACACACACACACACACACACACACGCACACACACACACACACATATATATATATATATATGACAAGCGATTTTTTTTCAATTCGAATACATAAATATATATATATAATATATATATAAAATATATATAAATATATATATATATCACTAGATTTCACTACGCCATATCCAGACAGGCAACATTGAGCAGCGCAAATGATGTTCACTGCTGGTACAGGGATGGTCAATTCGTCTGCCAAGCGTGACGATTAAAGTAAGTCCTCCATAGACCTATTTTCAGACTGATGTACGGGATCGCGCGGCATGATATCGAGTAGTGAATATTACAACGCCTCTACATGGTATTTTCAACGACGGAATTCACAACTTCTCAAAATATTTTATTTCTCCAAATCTCCTCACGATGTTTTCTTTCACTGACGAGCACGTGGTAAATCGAAACTTAAAAATGCAATTGATAATTTTATTGGTGCCGGCGAAGATTGAAACTAGGTTGATCACGTAATGTGAATTTGCCACGGCTCGCGTATTAGTTACTATAACTTTTTCGACGCTTCGACGGATCGTATTATAAAAAATGGTAGTTTCTATTGTAGACGTTTCGTGTGGTGTTGTATGTATTTTTGGACATTTTCTGTCAATTTAGTACATTTTTTACGCTGGTAGAATTATTTTTTACGCTGGTAGAATTGTTTTGTACCTGTTTATATTGCAATAATGACATGGACCGCATGAGATCGCCGACCAGTATGAAGTCACCCTTCACCTTTAAATACAGCGCTACGATATTGTTAAAATGACTGCACTCTAATCGAAGCTCCTTCTCCGACGTCCATTCGAATAATCGAACCTAAAAGAAGAGATTGTACAATGTCTCAAAGAGAAGCCTCCAATGTTACAGAATTTGGAATAAAAAAAAATATATATATATATATATATATATATATATATATATATATATATATATATATTTGGGTGTTTGATTTAATTTAATAGAATAGAATAGAAATTATATTTATTTTCTAATCACAAACAGGTACAGAATTATTATGACAAACACGTTAAACTATATAAACGTATTGAAATACTTATTAAAAAGATTCTGCTGCCCCTCTCCTGATTCGTTTTCTTTGTCGATTTCACATGACGATATAGGGTACTGAATATTCTTACACAGCTTACAAGTCCGCACTCGGAATAGACCTCGCATCGAAGTTAGAGAACAGGAGAACGATCACTAGAAAATTTTCATGCTCCGTAATTTTGTAATTTTTGACAAAAAGAAACATTAAAAAATGGAGAAACATTTTATTGTGCGTGGATGTGCAAGTGGTTTAGCATCTGATCGGAAAAGTACACTGCAAATGACTTTTATTGACCGAACTTAGTGATCGCAGCGCCTCACTGATGGTGTCCATATTTCTGGGACACTATTTTCTACGGCGATCATTCTCCTGTTCTCTAACCTTCATGAGACCTCGCATAGAATATCAGAATAATAATAGTAATGTCCTCCAGACCGAAAACGGAGGCAGGTCGCTGTGGCAGTCGTCGGCGCAGGACAGGATTATAGTGTCCAAGTGTATGCGCTAGAACAGGTGCACTCTCTATTCCCTCACTCTCATAATCCGATGCGACGGTAATCCGACACGAACGGTGAGAGATCAGGCGCAGGACCCACGGCTTAACGTACTTTCCGAAGCATTGGGGGTGAGACACTGCCAACTTCCTGACTCCGAGAAGCTACTGAGAAATTCTTGACGGAAAAACACAAAAATTGATTTTTTGGCCCGATCAACAGCAGTCACCCTACTACAACCATCAGAATGAGGTAGCCAAAATATCAAGATAAAACAACTATATATAGCTACTGTATTTTATGTAGCGCGTAACGACAGCCGGAGAGTATTTACTGGTAACAAAGAACTCCATCTCGATTCTTTGCAGTGACAACGTTATTTTATACAACCAGGGATGATAAAAGAGCTCATAGTAAATGGTTGCAGCGGACCATAGATTTTGACATTCAAAAATAATTAAGAATTAAAACGCATCTGCAATTTTATTAAAAATGTTTACATTTACTCAAAAATATTAAAAAAATTGACGAGCAATAGACTGGTTTAAATACTCACTGTACTGTTGATGGAGGCGAGAAGTTTCCCGTTAAATTCAACCAGCGTATAACAGCCGCCCTTTATTTCTTTTTCTGCAACTTGCACTAATCTACCTTCTGACCAATGAAACAGTAGTATTCTGCCCTGGAAGAGGAAATAAACATTAAAAAGTATCGCAATGGGCCTTAGTATAGTTTTGTTTGAACCATAACAAATACCTCGTGGGAAGCAGAATCCTGTTTCGCGCAAGTCCGTTACTTGCTTAACTATTAAAACTACACATGCAATTTCATCTATAAGGAACATCTTGTTGTGACAGTAGCCTAAAAGAATTATGTAGTAGAAAAGTTAAAGGTATTAACTACAACCTCGGAGTCGTGGGTTCGAATCCTCCATTCGACTACTGTCGCGAACTATTCCTAACACAAGCCATCAATTTATTTAACAACTCCAAGTAAGCTTAAAATAGCTTACTTCGAGTGGTTACATAAATAAATATAAATAAAACAATATACTTCGTTCAAGTATTAAAATACTATAAGTATAAGAATGGGATTAGAAATGGCGATTGATCAAGCCTGTACCGTCGATATGCACAGTACCAATAGCGAAAACCCGCCAATAACGGTATATCGTTATATTATTTGGTTAATTAGAAATTTTCTTTTAACCCTTCAAGCGCCATAAAAATCCCATGCAGTCGCATGCGCCCAACAAATCCCGAGCGGTCGCATTCGACCGCACCCTCCCACAGCACTTAAAATAATTAAAACTTATATTTAGAGACTAATTTTCTATGAAGAAGTTTAGCATTATAAAATCTATACAAAATTTTCTATCTTGTGGTCTAAACAAAAGTCAGGTTTTACTTCATTACAAAAAGATTTTATTGTATTTCGATTAAAAAAAAACATACCAAGCGAATGTCGGCAGCGTGAAAATCACAATTATTTCAATATATATTACTCGAAATTATTTACGTAAAAAGATAACACACAAAAACTTTCATTACAATTTTATAATAAAACACTATACTAAAACACTAGAATAATCCGAAAATCAACAATAGAAAGTAGTTTCTATATATAAGTTTTTATGAGTTAAAGTGCTGTGGGTGGGTGCGACCTCATGAGACCGCTAGGGATTTGAAGGAATATGGCAGCGGTCTCATGAGATCGCTAGGGCGTTGAGAGGTTAATGAGAATTATTTGAAAAGCATTTAAAAATAATATTTGTAACTAGCGACCCGTTCTAGCTTTAGCTGGGTGGGACCTATTAATGTGGCTTTATTGAGGCTTATGATAATCATTTAACACAATTTATTTCATCTTATCAATATTTCTATTACAATAAAATCTCGAATTTTTTCGAATACAATTTAGTCTAGATCACTCCATGTATTATTCTCCAATGGTTCGTGAAGTTTCATTACAATCGGTTCAGACGGACAGACAGACAAACGAAAATTTAAAAAATTGTTACTCATGTCTCAATGGCATGTAAATATTTTATACAAAATTATTAACAAACAAAATCAACTATTATTATGAAGACAACACTTAGAACGCGTTTAGCTCACAAAACAAAAACCAGTTTTTTTTTTGTAGTTTATGGCATTTTGTATTTCATGACAAATTCAATAAGTTACTATGCAACGAATTTTTGTATGACATTCTATAACCGCATGGGTAGTACACTAATATCATATAAAAAAATGGTAAACTAAAAAGTGTATGTGTGTGTGTGTGTGTGTGTGTGTGTGTGTGTGTGTGTGTGTGTGTGTGTGTGTGTGTGTGTGTGTGTGTGTGTGTGTGTGTCTGTTGAAATGTGTTTTTTATATTATAGGATGACAAACGAGCACACAGTTCACCTTATGGTAAGTGGTTGCTGTGGCCCATAGACACCTACATATATCCTCGATTACGAATCAAAATGCAGGTGCGTTATCACCCGTGGGGACTAAGATGGAATGCCTCATTTCCAGTAAAAAGGGTCTCCGGATCTCTACTCACTATACGAATAACAGCATTAAGCTGCTATTTTACGCTGGTATTCTGTGAGAGCCCCAGTCGAGCCGACCCATTCGTGCTACAACTATACTACTAATATAACTGCAGCATGGCTCTACCATGCATAAATCATACGTATGTGGTGTGTCTTACGTAATTTGAAACGCACATCCCTCCCTTTCACAGTTGCGTGCATTTTTACTGCAACTGCTACACCCAACTCAGCGAATGTCTGTCCAAACTAAGCAGTTAGCCACTGCAGTCATTTCCTCATGATGATGCCTCGTTTATAAGCAGTACATCTCCATTATCGAAGGAGGTATTTCTTAGGGGTGTTGAGTTTAGTGGTGCAATGATATGCATACATTAGTGGGAGGGAGCAAGTTGCTCGTCAATCTAAGGCACATCATCATCACTATATCCAATCACAAGTTCACTGCTGAATATAGACCTCAACCCCGAGAAATAAAAAAAAAACAGGAGATGAGAAGCCTCGTCATCCGAATAAAAACTAAAAATACACTGCGGGGAGAGCCGTTAATGCAGCTGCAAAATTTACCTTCGTAATCTAATGATATTGTAGCAGCTTTTCATTGCCTGAAGACATGGAGACATTTTCGAAAAACGAATCCTAGCTAGATCGATTGTATATGCGTAAAAGGACAAGTCATGAAGACTCATTTGCAAAAATAAAAAATCTCAAAAAGTCTTCAAATATTTTTTTTAATTTTTGAAGACGGTCAAGTCAAAATTTACCAAAAAATTTAAAGAAAATTATAACTCGAAAACTATCAAAAATTGCGGAACATACATGGGGGTAATTCGATTACCCCACGATCTGCCGGACCTAAAAAAAAATTATGACGTCAATTGGTCCGGCCACCCTGTATATATATATATATATATATATACATATATAGGTATAGTATAGGTATTAGAAAGAAAAAGTGGTAAACCTACGACGTCACGTAACATATTGTACCTGTTTGGGTTCTGATTCCTCCGGGTTTAGTATAGCGGTACCAACTGCGTAGTAATGGTTCGGATCGTCCCCCAGCTTGCATGATACTAGTGACATCGCGAACTCACTCGTCATCAGTTGGTGTGCGTGAAGAACTGTCATTACAAAAAATTATATTTTTATTACACATCAAAATTGAATAGAAATGTTAACCAATATTTAATGTTTTATTTTCATATTTATGATCTCTAAAAATGCTTCAAAAGCTTCGCATTGAAATATTGTAACGATATTTTTTTATAGAAGAGTGACAAACGAACACACAGTCCACCTCATGGTAAGTGGTTGCTGTGGCCCATAGAGATTTACATCTATCTTCGATTACAAATCAAAATGCAGATGCGTTGTCACCCGTGAGTACTAACATGGTATGCCTCGTTTCCAGTAAAAAGGGTCTCCGGTTCTCTACACTCACCATACGAAACACAGCAATGTTAATTTATAATATTTATTAAAGTTGCAAATTATTTCCGAATTGAAACCTATCCGAACAAATTTTAACAAATTTAACAAAAATGGGTTACATTTTCAAAAAAACGTCAACGACGTGTAAGAAATGCATTGATTGAGGAGGCGGCTTTCATACATAAATAAAAATAAGAACACACATCCAGACACGGAACTTTATTAATCGAGGTAAAAAAACATAATTTAATAGCTGGGGAAATTTTACTTTGAGTTTTTTAAAGTGATAATAATGCAATATTTTTCAATAATATGAAAGGCATGTATTGAATTAGATTCTCCATCGACTATTGTTTTATTTATTTTTCTGATAGTAAACGTTTCAAATAAAGTAACTTTTGTCCGAACCTAATACATCATCGGTTTTGATGCTTCAAAGTACCACTGACTAGTTTCTCTAAGTTTAAGTCACTCTTGTAACTAACATCGAACTCGTATCATATAACATTGTAATTAGTGATTTTTATTGAAAACTTAAGTTGAAATAAATTGTTTTTTGTTTTTGTATTCTACTTTGCTGCCGAATTTAAGGCCGAATACGAAGAAAACTGGCGAAATTTAATGTATTTCTCTTCATTACAACTTTGACCTGAAGTAATTCTAAGCGTTAAAACATTTTTTGTAGGTTTGTTAGGTTCCTTCACAAGGTGCCCGCAGTTTTAAAATTTTAAAATAAATGAATATCCTCTTGAGACCCAGACCCCAAAAAGGTTGTCTAATTGTCATGAATTTTATCGGTCAGGCTAAGTATAATACAAACAACTAATAAAAAATGAAAAAAAAATCTAGTTTCTAGCTTTGAAACCCATAGTGTCACCAGTGACACTATGGGTTTCAAAGACAATAAAACAGGTTTAAATTATTGAATGTTTTTATTAAATTAAAGTAAGGTAATTCCGTGTTTTTAGATTCAAATTGATCAACAATTAAATATTAATAGTATTCAGTATGTGGAAGGTTTTATTTTAATTATTGTGAAGTGTGAAAACAGAAAAAACAATTACGATTTACATTGAAACATAAAAATATGTTGCAGTCTGAACATTTAACAAAGGTTTGCACAAATACGGGTAAGTGTTTTACTTCCTTAAGTCTCTTCGCTACGTGAGGAATTGGTTCAACAAGTCTACGTTTTCGCTGAGTCTGCAGAGCTTCAATGTTTAATTCGTCCAGTTCTTCAGAAGGACTATCACGAGCAACGCGCGACTGGACAGGACTGAAACGAGTATCGCGAGACAAAAGTGAAAGCGAGGGACTACTGCGCGTGACTCGCGACAGGTCAAGACTGGAACATTGGGGCGTAACCAATATTTGACTTCCAAATATCAAATGTTTCGCCAGATCCATTTTAAAGTCCAGATATTGTTTAATATCTTTTCTTGGAAGGCCACTTTTGACAGCATCTTCCCGATATTGAATCCACCAAGCAGCTGCAGCAAAATCGAAAAAATGCAGAATAGCGCGAACGGTCCACTTCCCTGTTCGGCCGCGCATTGGGTATTTGCCAATTATGCGATCCAAAAGGTCAATTCCACCCATGTACCGGTTATAGATTTTGATCGCAACTTGCTGTGGAATGGCAATGTACTGCTGCTCCTTCTTACTCCATCGCCGGCATGTCCCCAACGGTTCAACAGCAGTTTCTGTCGAGGCAAGATGTATAGGTTTGCTGTCTAGCCATTTAACAACAGCGATGGCCCTGTCTTGCCTGACGATACAGTCGAAACTCCCCCTTCCCTCGTTCACTAGTGATCTGTCACTTTTCAGCAACGATTTACTCCCGTTTCTATTATTAGGCCTTCGATATTCAGGAACTCGATCCTTCTTTAGAGTACTAGTCGCATAAATGTTTCTGACTAATAAAATTTCAGAAGGGGAATAGAGGTAAAATATCTATCAATGTAGATTGAAGAATGTTTAGGTAAGGTGTCTACGAGTTTCAACACAACTCGGCCGCCAAGATCAAGTTTCTCTGGCATTGGATGAAGTGCTGACTCCACAGGGGGGACCACTTGACAATCTTTGATATAAATACAAGTCCAAAGGAAGGCCATTAGGATTCGCTAATAAAAAATCTTTGATACCTTCAGGATTCGGTTTTCCCCTTACGACCTGCTTCATTTTACATTTACCTGTAAATGCTATAATTTGCTCGTCTATGGCGATATTTTGGGATCTTTGGTTTTGTCTACAGCCGGCTTCGATCGTTGAAACTAGTGGACGAATTTTCCAAAATCTATTCGGTGTTATTGCATTAGCGACTATTGCTGCCCTGGTTTCGGCAGCCCAGAACATACGCATTCGAGGAAGCCCTAACATACCCATAACCATTGAAACGCCTACAAAAGTTCGCATTTCTTCTAAATTTGTATTTAAAGATCTTCCAGTTCTATGGGTGCTGCAAATATTAATACAGTGTGACACTTGCTCAAAGAATTCAGGTTTGATGTAATGGCAAAAGTATTCATGGGAAGGTTTGCAGATTGTTGGTTCAACTAATGGTGGATCCTCATAAATATTGCTTGGAGAATTCTGGAAGTTATTTGTATGATCCCATCGCAGCGGTCGATTTGTTAATCTCCTAACTCGCTGTAGTGAAACAAGCGGCTCTTCGTCTGAAGATTCCCACTCACTACCATCAGGTGACCGGGGCAATACTTCTTCGGGAATGTCTTCCTGCACTGTAGAAAAGTTTTTCTCCTCCTCATCATCAATGTCTTCGAAATCTGACTCGTTAAAGTTAAACAACAACGACTCAATGTCACCATCGGCCAATCCTGAAAAAATCAATATTTTAGATCATGAATGCCGAAAGTGTCACCAGTGACACTCGAAGAAAATGTCGAAAATAATTGACAAAATAGAAATATTTTGAAATATCTTTCGCAAAATCCGACAGATCTATGAACATAGCACACAAAAACACAAAACAATAAGAAAAAACATCTTTAAAATAATATTTACCTCTCCAGTAATTCATCGTTTCGGTACTTGCACAAATTCCAAACTTCAACTAATATTTACGAAGGCAAAAACACTCTCGCGCGAGCCGCAGCCACCTTTTAAACATTATACGTAATATAAAGTTTCATTTAACTGTCGTAGTTTTCACTCATAACAAAAGATGGCGCGGGAAAAAAAATAAATACGCAAGTGTCACGAGTGACACCGGGGGTCTCAAGAGGACCAACAAATAAAAAAATGTTAAGAAATGATATAGACGATACTGTGAATTTTAATTTAGGAAAAATTCTTTTACGTAAAAATGTATTGTGATTCCGAAGGTGCCTGCTGTCTTTATTTTCGATACAAAATATTATTTATTAACATAATTCGTTTTAATTAAAACACCTAATAATAATATCGTATATTGCCAGATAAAAGTTTGCCGTAATAAATTACCAGGCGCATCGACGTGTGACGTAAGATAACAACAGTCGATGTGTCTGTAGCGAAAATCGTTAATTTAGTGTTTTATACGCGTTTAAGTGACTATAAATGTAAATACGGGTAGGAAAAGAAATAAATGTTACCTAAGTGGTAAAACAAAGAGAGTTTATCGCATGAACGCTGCTCGAATGTTGTATTTTTAGGTTAATACTTATATTTTTGTAAAGTAATTTTTTGTTTGAGGCTGCCTAATAGGTTGCATTTTTACTCATTTACATTAGCCAAACTGATCATTTATACTTTTCTAGTTTCAAGTGAGAAACACTAAAAATGTAAATATCAAGACCCAGTCGGAAAATAATGTACAGAGTAGTGCAAGCACAGAGACCGCAAATAATGTCATAGTCAATGTATTGTCCGAAAGCATGGGGTAAGTACATAATTAAGAAAAACCGAAATACTTCGGATGTGAAGTGATTGACCAGTCGGAGTAGTCTTGTGAGAATTTACATACACAGACCTATCCCCACTAAGGGGCAATCGCCGACTTTTTAGTTTTTTTTTCTTTATTATTTATTCAATTTGCATTACGGCATCTTGTAAGACTCACAAGAACAAACATTTTCAGTTATATGAGGTTCTTTACGTACGATGCACCAATTAAGAAAAAAAACCGTTATCAATTCAATAACTTTTCGAACAATATTTTATAACGAATAAAGTACAGAATTTATAATCTATAGGAACTAATATTATAAATAAGAAAGATATAATTAAGAAGTAAGCAATGATCTCTGTGTTGTTAATTACTATGCATACTGAGCTAACTCAGTCAAATATAATATAATCAAAGCCCGTACGGCTTTGATTATATTATACATGTCTATATAAACAAAGCGTACGGGCGCCGCGTGGTTTGCTGCGAAACGAGCAAGGTCATTCGCGTCGTATTCGGCCTTAATTCGTATCAAACTTTTGAGACCTTTTTATTGGATATGAGGCATTCTATCTTAGTCTTCCGGGGTGATAACGCATTTGCATATTGATACTAAATCGAGAATAAAATGCAGATGTCTATGGGCCACAGTATCTACTTATGGTTAGGTGGACTGTGTACTGGTTTGTTACACTCATTCTATATAAATAAATACTTTTAATTATTGGGCTATTATGATAGAGCGGAACTTGTAGTAGAATTCCGTGTGGTGTTCCACCTTGTATAATAAGATGCGTTGACCTGTATCATAAGATACGTTGACCTGTATAATAAGATGTGTTGACCTGTATAATAAGATGTGTTGACCTGTATAATAAGATGCGTTGACCTTTATAATAAGATACGTTGACCTGTATAATAAGATGTGTTGACCTGTGTAATAAGATGCGTTGACCTGTATAATAAGATACGTTGACCTGTATAATAAGATGTGTTGACCTGAATAATAAGATGCGTTGACCTTTATAATAAGATACGTTGACCTGTATAATAAGATGTGTTGATCTGTATAATAAGATGCGTTGACCTGCATAATAAGATGCGTTGACCTGAATAATAAGATGCGTTGACCTTTATAATAAGATACGTTGACCTGTATAATAAGATGTGTTGATCTGTATAATAAGATGTGTTGACCTGCATAATAAGATGCGTTGACCTGCATAATAAGATGCGTTGACCTGTATAATAAGATACGTTGACCTATATAATAAGATGTGTTGACCTGTATAATAAGATGTGTTGACATGTATAATAAGATGCGTTGACCTTTATAATAAGATACGTTGACCTGTATAATAAGATGTGTTGACCTGTATAATAAGATGCGTTGACCTGTATAATAAGATACGTTGACCTATATAATAAGATGTGTTGACCTGTATAATAAGATGCGTTGACCTGTATAATAAGATACGTTGACCTGTATAATAAGATGTGTTGACCTGTATAATAAGATGCGTTGACCTGTATAATAAGATGCGTTGACCTGTATAATAAGATACGTTGACCTATATAATAAGATGTGTTGACCTGTATAATAAGATGCATTGACCTGTATAATAAGATGTGTTGACCTGAATAATAAGATGCGTTGACCTTTATAATAAGATACGTTGACCTGTATAATAAGATGTGTTGATCTGTATAATAAGATGTGTTGACCTGCATAATAAGATGCGTTGACCTGAATAATAAGATGCGTTGACCTGTATAATAAGATACGTTGACCTATATAATAAGATGTGTTGACCTGTATAATAAGATGTGTTGACATGTATAATAAGATGCGTTGACCTTTATAATAAGATACGTTGACCTGTATAATAAGATGTGTTGACCTGTATAATAAGATGCGTTGACCTGTATAATAAGATACGTTGACCTATATAATAAGATGTGTTGACCTGTATAATAAGATGCGTTGACCTGTATAATAAGATACGTTGACCTGTATAATAAGTGTGTTGACCTGTATAATAAGATGCGTTGACCTGTATAATAAGATGTGTTGACCTGTATAATAAGATGCCTGTGTTGACCTGTATAAGATGCGTTGACCTTTATAATAAGATACGTTGACCTGTATAATAAGATGTGTTGACCTGTATAATAAGATGCGTTGACCTGTATAATAAGATACGTTGACCTATATAATAAGATGTGTTGACCTGTATAATAAGATGCATTGACCTGTATAATAAGATACGTTGACCTGTATAATAAGATGTGTTGACCTATATAATAAGATGCGTTGACCTGTATAATAAAATGCGTTAGGTGTCATTAATCAACATGTAGGTAGCATGTTGATCGTTGACGTTTGATGCAGATTTACCAATCGGTAATTCGTGGTCCTGAAAAAAAACTGGTGTTTACATTGCAAGCACCGTAAAAATCCGAGGAACAAGAACGAGATTAATAGGAAACTGCGAACTGTATTTTTTCTTATTCCCTCACAGGCTAAATCGTATAGATGTATATGTTTGTCTCTTTTAGTTTCAAATGACTAGGGTTCTGAAAAGTTTTCATTAGAATAATATAAAGACACAATAAATCACTTAAGATCTGATCTGACACACCAGGCTTAAAACATTCTAAAACCTTAATCCGGGCTTTTGATCGTAAATTCGCTTGAGAAGTCCTGGGATTAAGTAAAAATAAATTGCGCATTCTGGCAAGAGCTCTAACTGGACACTGTTGTCTTAAAAAGCACATGATCATTCTGGGACTAAGCAACTCAAGGATGTGTCGGTTCTGTTCCATAACGGAAGAAACGCCTCTAACACATCCTAACTGATTGCGGACCCTTAATGTGCAAACGTAAAACTCATCTGGGAAACTATGTACTCCGCCCAGAAGAAGTGAAATTGCTCACGGCTAAGCAACTCCTTCTATTCATTGAAGACATAGGGCTTAGCCGTGAACTATAGCCATAGCAGCGATTACAATAGATCTTCTAAGTCGTAGTGATACTGGTCTCTTTCCCTAGACCTGCATAGCTGCTCGCACTTAATAATAAAAAAATAAAGAAATAGGGTGGGTTGATTGATGACCTTCGAAGGTGTGGTGGTCGAGCACGAGCAGGTTGTGTATCTCGAGGTCGAGCGCGGTGGGCGCGTGCTTGGGCGGCTGCGGCGGCGCGCCGCTCGAGCTGTTGGCAGCTGTGGAGGCGCACGCGCGCCCTGCCGCCACGCCACCCCCCTCCACCTTGTCCACGCGCATCGTGATCACGCCGAACGTCTATCACGTATACAATACAATGCAATCATTCACCACTGGCTCGTAGATTCACTTAAGTCAAATATATTATAATTGTGCATAAATATCTAAAAGACAGTGTCTTGTCAATATCGCATAAAAATGAATAATGGTGAAGTGTAAGAAATGCAATCAGAATGTGTCGAACGCGAAAGAAGAGATTAGTAAATGTAAAGGCTCATGTGCAGCAAACTTCCATAATTTTTTTTTATAAGATAGTGTGACAAACGAGCACACAGTCCACCTGATGGTAAGTGGTTGCTGCGGCCCATAGACACCTACATGTATCATCAATTACAAAACAAAATGCAGATGCGTTGTGACCTGTGAGGACTAAGATGGTATGCCTCGTTTCCAGTAAAAAGGGGCTCCGGTTCTCTACACTCATAATACGAAATACAGCAGCATTAAGCTACTATTTCAGGCTGGTATTCTGTGAGAGCGTGGTCCTTCCCCGGTCGAGCCGACCCATTCGTACTACAACTATACTACTAATATAACTGCAGCATGGCTCTACCACGTAAGAAAAAAAGAATGCATCACAAGAGCTACCTTCATCAAACGAAAAATGTGAAGATTGTGTTTCCCTGCCCGGATCGCATACGGGTTCGCTTACTGTTGATGAACCGGACAATGCAATGACCCTGGCTGATATGAATAGGAAAATGGAGGTGGTACACAAAATGGTGAAGCTGAGTGAACATCCCGATCTGGTTGATTTTGTATCAAAAAAAGTATAATATAACCTGATAGAGTACCAGAAATCGGCCGAAACAAAAATAAAATCCCTAGAAAATATGAATGCTTACTGCGTTAAGTGCAATAAAAAACTGGAAGAACGTGTGAACAAGCTGTAAAAGAGAAACAAGCAAAAAAAGTTGGAATTTTTTCGACTGAAAAAGAAGCAAAATGAAGATAAGGCTAAAATAACAGTCCAGGTTGCCAACAAGCTCCAAATAAATGTTAGTCTTAATCTGACAACCACCCATCACAAATCCACTGCTGAACATAGGCCTCCCGCAAGTAACACCACAAAACACGATCCTGAGCCACCTGCACAATTTTTTATAATCTTGAATTTTTATCAGGAAGATGCTATTTCAATTGATTAATTGCATAACCGCTTTAACGATCATTCACCGCAGAGTCTACATCATCTGAGGATGCCTTGTGTAGAGGCGAAACACGTGTCGTATTAATGTCCATGGTGTGTTTTTCCTAGTGTAGAGGGGTATTGGGAGTAGTGGTGCTGGGATTAGTGACGATGGAAGTAGTGCACGCGATTGAGTGAGAGCTGGAAGTGCTCTTCAAACTAGGTAAGACACATCATTTTATTTCATTGTTCGGATGTGGGCCAGGTTATTCTAACCAACTTTAAAGAAAAAACAAATTATACCTCCGCTCTCATACTATTATTATTTCTAAAAATACTCTCCAAATATATTTCTTACAATATAAACAATTGTTTACCGTATAAAAATTTACAAACCACTACTGATCTTCAAATAGATAGCCTCTCAAGGATAACATAGTCACACTTGACAGACGGGTTGGTTCATAATGATTATTTAGTCGTTAATATTTAACTCGCTTAATCGCGACATCATATCCGTACTGCAGTATTCGGCGAAAGCGTGGGACTACCATCTAAATCAGTGGTTTTTAATCTTTTGGATATGAGGGACTATTTAATCTATTTTTTATTTTGCAATGAACCTTAAGACCAGATATAATAGTAACATTGATTTTCAAGTTTGTTCTATAAATAAAACTCATACAAAAGTGAATGTAACAAGGTGTTACATTAATTTTTCACCCGATCTAATTGAGCAACACAGTGTACAGAAACCGTATCGACAGTATCTGCACACTCCACCATCTCCATCATCCTACAGATTGATAAGATTTTTTTACTTTTCAATATGCGAGAGAATTGTATGATGCCATCGCGGACCACTTTAGGTACTCTTAGGCACCACCGCTTGAGAACCACTGATCTAAGTGATGAAGTAAGCGAACTTTACATAATTTACCTGTGAAGCCTCTTGATAGGCGATACGTCGCGGCGTCTCTCCCAGGGGAACCGTTCTTATGTGTAGCTTCTGTATTTCGTCTATCGTGCCGATCGTAACCGTACTGTCTGTGGCCAAAGCTAAGCTGTAACAAAATTACTTTTTAAATAAGGACAACTACAAATTCTCGCCTTAAGATGCAATTTTATATTATTACTCTTAGTTTAGGTTAGTTTAGATATTAATATAATCAGGCGTTACTTTGCGGAAATCCATTATACCAAATATATTAAAAGTTACTGTGCAAACATCAGTGGTATTTGGAGTATTGGTGGTGGGATTAGTGGTGTCGTGATTAATGCACGCAATTAAGGGAGGGCGGGAAGTGCGCTTCAAACTAGGTAAGTCACATAATTTTATTTTATTAAGCGGATGATTGCATTGTAACTTTTAATATCTTTAGTATTAGTTTAGATAGGTTATAGAACTCGCTATGTAGATAGTTTAGATTGCTAAAAGCAATCTACACTTAACCATCGTTTCATTGCAATGAAATTGATTTATAATAAAATTATTTCTTATATTTACGCGAATCCCAATCTACACCCTTTCGTTGTTGACTTACCACGCATTCGAACCAAACGGTTTGCTATGTCGTTCGTCATGCGTATAGCAAAGGAGTGGAGTAAGTTGCCAGCATCTGTCTTTCCGTCCGATTACAATGTGGGTGTCTTCAAGGCAAGAGTGAATAGGTGTTTGTTAGTCAGTGCGCTTTTCCATCTTATGCTACATCACCACTTACCATCAGGTGCGATTGTAACTAAGTGCTGGCTTAGAAAAGTAAAAAAAAACTAGGTCCACATTGAATAAAACTATTTTACAGATTTTATGGCGTTTAATTTTCTACACCAGAGGACTAATATGACTACCATTTACTGTGTGGATTAGATGGAGTGAGACTTGGTAAGATATGCAGGAAATCGATGGATGCAGGTGGCTCAGGACCGTGCTTTGTGGCATTACTTGGTGGAGGCCTATGTTTAGTAGTGGACTTGTGAAGGGCTGTAATGATGATGTTGTATACAACATGTAACATAATTAACGCACTTTGAGAAAGTAGTTTGTTCAGAATCGTTTACAGAATCGATTCCTATCATTTTTAATATAGGTAATTTTTTATCCCAAAAATAATTAAAACTACGTAAATTACAGTCACGCTAAATCTGTACAGTCAAAACAAACTGAAATGGACCGTAACTTAAGGCAATAGGACTTAAGAGTGCAGTTTTATTTGTATTATTACTAATTCTCTCATTCAATAAAAATAAAGAAAAATGAACTTTATTTCAAGCACGTTAGAGTCTTTGCGTTCGTGGATTTGTACTGTGACCACAACATTCTTCCGGAATTAGTATAACTAATTTGATAAATAATCAGTGCATAAAAATGTTTAACTAAAATTCAGTGTATGTATTATGATTATAACATAATATACTAATTGGGATGTCTGAGGGTGTGCGTTAATTACGTTACATATTGTATATTTTCATTAACATTTATTTAAAACTGATTTTATTTTCTACGATTTCTTTTATACGTGGTAGAGCCACGCTGCAGCTATATTATGGTTGCAGCACGAATGGGTCGGCTCGCCCGGGGAAGGACCACGCTCTCACAGAATACCAACGAAAAATAGCAGCTTAATACTGATGTGTTTCGTAAGGTAAGTGTAGATTCGGTGACCTTTTTACTGGAAACGAGGCATTCCATCTTAGTCCTCAGGGATGACAACGCATCTGCGTTTTGATTCTTAATCGAGGATAAATGTAGATGTCTACGGGCCATATCATCCACTTACCATCAGGTGGACTGTGAGCTCGTTTGTCACCCTTAGTCTATAAAAAAATTACGAGTTCTCCTTGATAAAGTTTTATAACAATAGTATATTCATTACCCCAATCCATCACAGTAAGTAGGCATTTTTTTATTATTATTTATTAAATTATATTATAAGAAAAATAATAACCACTTGAGTACAAAGTTCATGGCTCAAACGAATAACGACGAGTTTGTAAACGCCGACACAGATACACACGAGCGTTGCTTTTACTCGAGCCAAAAAACCGACATCGAGTGGAGAACAGGCGAATACTCGGAACCGAGTAGCGAGAACATCCGAATAACGCGTTTATAAGCTCGTGCCTGTTCGTCTGTACTCGGCGAGTATGTAAACGCTGCATTTTCTAACCGTTCCGCCAAATGGAAGTGCTGGCATTAGCATTCCTGTGTTCCTCTGAAGAGTATAGTGAGCCAGTGCAGTTACAGGCTGTGAGGCATTCCATCTCACTCCTAAAAGGTGACAACGCATCTGTAAACTTTTTTGTTCGAACTTCACTGCAGGGGTCTATGGACTAGGGTTGCCGCTCGTACTATAATATAAAGTATTGTACTATATTCCAGTCTATTGTATTATATGTTATAGAAAAATAATATAGTACGAAAAATACTATATTTTTATCCCTAATTCAACTGTCACTTCGTTATATTAATTGTGATTGGAAGTCTGGAACAAGTATGCTTTATGGAAAGAATTTTTTCCATCATCAATGTAAAATTAAAAGAAAAATAAAACAAAGCATGAATTGGATTAATTAAAAATTAATTTTTAATTTATTTTAATATTAATCTAAATTGCTGAGACTCCTTTAACTATTTTAAAAGTAAGGTAGAGGGTAAGGTGACTAAAAATTTAAGACCAAAGCAGAGGGCAATTACAAATATATATGAAAAAATACATATAATATTTAAAATAAATGTGTACTTTTTTTCTCCGAAATGTATCAAAAGTACTATATTTTTGCATCATTTATGGGGAAAATACTACATTTGTTCAAAAAAGAAGGTTACAACCCTGCTACGGACTGCAACATCAGGTGTGTAAGTACGTCTCTCTCTCGTCGTCTCTTCACTCATACACTACACTAGTGCAGTAGACGTGTCATGGCATGGATACCACGTCTCGACAAACGTAATATGGTACGCCCAGTGATTAGATGAATCGACGATCTGCAGATGCTAGCTGGTAACAATTGGAAAAGGCGCGCCTTGTGAAATACCCATCTCCAGCAGTGGTATGCCGCGAGATAACGATGATATTAAAAATAAATACCCATATTAACAATATACCTAAATATAAAGTATTAAATATTTCAAGAAATTTTTAAACCAACCTTATCTTAATATATATATATATATATATATATATATATATATATATATATATATATATATATATATATATATATATATATATATAGTGAGAGATAGGATAGTTTTTTTGCTCATAAGTGACCCACAATTTTTTTTGCGAGTTTAATGATTTTAATAGGACATGACAAAGGGTCGTCGAAAAAGGCAGAACAACGTCTGCCTGGCAAGCTAGTTATACAGTATGTTTTAATTTCGTCCTTAGTCTCAACAATATAAAGATTAAATTTACTAGAAATTTGCGTTGATTACCTGTCTGGATAGGCTTGAGCGTTGAGTGAGCACATGTGAGTGACTTCTTTCAGGTTAACGTTGGAGAAGACGAGCTTGTGGTTCGAAGAGAAGATCACAGTCGGTCTATCTGAGCAGGCGAAGATGTTCGTTGTCGATAGTGACCTGTTAAGAAGAGAACACGAAAAATTCACATAAAACGTCATAATAACAAAAATAGATTTCTTTTAGTATGAATTACAAGAAAAAAGTTTAAGTTACAGCCTATATACGTCCCAGAGCTGGGCACAGGTCTACCCTCATTTCTGAGAGGGTTTTAGGGCATGGAAATGTCCGCCGCGCTACATCAATGCGTGTTGGCGAACTTCACATGATTTTTTCTTATTTCTCAGATATGCAGGTTTCCTCACGATGTTTTCCTTCACCGCCGAGCACGTGGTAAATCAGCACTTAAAATTGCAATTAACAATTTCATTGGTGCCGGCGGGGATCGAACCCGGTTTGCTCGCGTACTGTGAAATTTACAGCGAGCGCTAACCATCTGAGCTACCACGGCTCAGTATGAATTATATTTCATATAAATGTTGGTAGTATAGAAAATGACGGCGTGTAAAATAATGCTGTGTAAGGGCGGCGTGAGAATATTTACTATTTTATATGATTCCGTGGATGTCGCCAGGGCAGCATCTTTATATAACAACCAAACTTTTAAAATAAGCTGCGGTTGCCATTTCACTGCTAATCGCGGTAATAATGGCGAAATTCCTCCCATGAGGCATTCTATAAATAAGTTTATTAAGAAGCGGGCTTTAAATAGGATAATAAATATATGACGACTCCGTGGCGCAGTGGCTTAGCAAAGAGTGGTTGCGCTGGGGGTCGCGGGTTCGAATCCAGTCCGGAACAAATATTTGTGCCACCTACAAATAGATGTTCCGGGTCTGGATGTTTGTCCTTGTGCAATTTATGTTTGTAAACTGTCCCTCCGATACAAGAGAAAATCTTAGTGTAGGGGTAACGTTTTAAAAAAAGGAAAATAATGATTTATTTCAGGAAGACCTTACTTATCGTCGTAAAAGTACAAAATGGTAGTAAGAATTGGCTTTATACGTGACAGAGCTATCCTGAAGCTATATTATGGTTGTTTGCTTAAATGGGTCGGCTTGACCGGGGTAGGACTACGCTTTCACAGAACACCAGCGTCAAATAACAGCTGAATGCTGCTGTGTTTCTACTGGTTAGTGTAGAGAACCGGAGACAGACCCTTTTTACTGCAAACGAGGCATTCCATCTTAGTAATCAGGAGCAAAAATGCATCTGCATTTCGATTCTTGTTCATAAATGTATTTGTTTATGGTTATATATTGTTTATGGACCATAGTAGGGGGCGTTCAAGGATTACGTAAAGGAATTTTTGAAGATTTTTGACCCTCCCTCACCCCCATGTAACGCGCCGTAATGTTTTTCTGTACCGTCCCCCTCCTTGAACGTTGCGTAACACTCAAGTGACCATTTTTACCTAAAAGTCACAATTATGTTGCGCAAAGTACCGGAAAGTGGCTAACATCATACCTTTTCTTCTTCATATCCTTCACCTTGAAACGTCGTATAAGATCATTTATATGTTCTTCTATAAACTTTTTTTTCTAGTTTTTCTCGAGCCATTTTCCAAATTTAATTGGAATTTTTGGCCAAGAACAGCTGATAATGCAAATCTCCCTTTTTTGAGGACATTAAAGTATGAACCCACTTTAACAAAACTGACTACAGCAATGTACTTCTGCGTAAATACTAACGAATACTGACAACGAAAACAAAGTAAAAATGACGTACAATTGAATTGAGGGAATCTCCTTTAAACATAAACGAAAGGGGTTGCCAACTTGAGAGATTTTGGTTCACTAATTTTTTTCATTTAAATAAAAAAGAACAATGTTACGTAACGCGTTGTTTGAACCCCCCCTCCTGCCCCTGTGACGCATTTTAACGTTTTACAAGACCCCCTTCCCCTAAATTGCGTTACGGAATACTTGAACGCCTCCGTATCCACTTACCATCGGGTGGACTGTGTGTCCGTTTGTCACCCTTATTCTATAAAAATGAAAATTATAATTCTATAATCTCCATTTAATACTTTCACGTCTTTATTAATTTAAGTACTCCAGATACTTGTTTGAACTACTCACTTTTGCGCGTTGATATAGCAACAAAAAAAATCAAAATGTAATATAATTAATCTCAATTTAACTAAATACTAGTGGTAAATAACCTAATGGTTACAAAGTCACCGTGATCAGATGCGCAGAGAGAGAGAGAGACGAGAATTCTATCTGGGTAGGTATCACGCTCTCACCTATTTATGTCGCTAAAATAGCAGTGGTTAATCTGCTGTGTTCTGATTTAAAGTTCCGTCTTAGCCCTCAACGGTGACACCGCATCTGTAGCCTTCCTATTTTCACTTTGCATCCGCTCACTATCAAGTAGACTGCAAGTTCGTAGGTCACTTCAGTATTATAACTAGAGAGATGAGATAAGATGAGAGAGAGAGCGAGATGGCGATCTGAAGCTGAATGACCACGGTGGGCTGCGTGCCGAGCGTGACCTTCTTGCGGTTAGCGAGCGCGCCGGACTCGCGGTACAGTATGAAGTAGAACATGGAGCCGTCGCCCAGGGATAAGGAGAGGAGATGAGAGAGAACGAGATGGCGACCTGAAGCTCCTGAGCACGGTGGGCTGCGTGCCGAGCGTGACCTTCTTGCGGTTGGCGAGCGCGCCGGACTCGCGGTCCAGCGTGAAGTAGAACATGGAGCCGTCGCCCAGCGCGCACAGCAGGTAGCACACGCCCTCCAGCTCGCTGATCAGCAGCGACCGCGGGATGATCTCTGCATACACCAACATACCCAAACATTACAACCATAGCAAACCATATAACAACAAACAAATATCTTCCGAATGACTACGGCTAAGTGATACATCTCGTGGGTGTCCTAAAAGAGTACTATAAGAAATTCACAAAAAGGTTATATAATAACAAGCACAGTAATTACTTTATGGGACAATGTATACGCATTTACAACAAAGTCCCAGAAATTATGTAGTGCATATCTATAAAAAAGTTAGAATACATGATTGATAATAAGATGGACGACAGTAGTCAGTTAACATCAGGTTTCTACGTGGTAGTCACGCTACAGCTGTGACGGTAGGGACCACACTCTCAGAACAACAGCATAATGCTGCTGTGTTTCATATAGTGAGTGTAGAGGCACTCCATCTTCGAACTAAGGGGTTACGACACAACTGCATTTTGACTCTTAACCGAGGATAAATGTAGATGTCTATGGGCTACAGTATCCACTTACCATCAGATCCACACAGTCCTGTGTTCGTTTTTTAACCTTATTCTATAAAAATGCCCACAAATGAGGGAATATCGCTAGTTGGGACTGAGTAGAAGGTATTTTTTAAACATCGCCACTGTTTAAAATTGTAATAATATAATATACAATTTTTACCTATTGAGTTGCAAACAAGTGCAGTGCAGTGTAACAGTGATGACATTACTAGCGAATTAAATGAAAATTTAAGAACTCGCGTAAACAAAAACAAAACCGTGGCACCTCACCAGTGCTTCAATCGGTGTTTACTATCACGGACACGAGTGTCTAATACACTGTTGTTGTCGTCTTTATTTGCATCAATCATTTGTAACTAGTTTTAAGCCAAAATGTTTATCACCTTGTAATTAGTTTTAAATTCATCTCATCTTCATGACTCTCTATCTATCAGCCCGGGAGCATGTACGGGCTTAAGCACGTACATTTTTGTGGCGTTGGCAGTTTACGCTATTACGCTACAATAATGCATTTTGAATTAGTGCGCTAATTGAGCCCAGCAATATCGATCACGCGTGCTCGCAGTATCATTTCCCATCTATCATTAAATTAGATTTAGTTGGTTCTATCAACAAACTATCAATTATCAACTTCCCAGTATTGACTATCATTTACTATTAACTACTGTCAACCGACCACGTGGGGGTCCCGCTGTAGCCCTTACATTATGTTTAACCATAAAGATGACGCTCTCTGTGTTGATGTCGGTATTGAAGAAACTATTTACTATCTATTATTTATTTACGTTGTCAATTGATGTGAATAGTATTCACAATAAAATTTGAGATCTGAGTCTATCTATACTTTTTTACTTAAGTATAACGTTATCAAACTGATACCATGAGCGAATATTTAGGTTCTCCACATCATATAGATCATATCGGATTACTCCTGTATTTGGCTTTAAAGTGAATGCTAACAAAATGAAACGTGGTGCAGCAATATAATGAGAGAAATCGTGGGTAGAAACAAAAGAAAGTACCTATATAATAAAATGAAACATTTTTGAAATTAGGTTGTTCGTCCAGACAATAGAGACGCGAGAGATGACGTCACACAACGAGCGCGCGTAATCACGGGAATTTCATAAACCGCTCCAATTTCTCGTAGTAATTGATAGCTTCGGTGTTACTGCATGTAATACGTGAAACAAAACCTAGTAAAATGTACGTAAAATAGGCTTTAATAAGAGGATATGTTTTAATGCCAAATTTTGAACTACTTGTCAAGTACATTATTATTTTTGTTTTAAATTTATAAAGATAAATTAAACATACATATAAAGAAAAATTACTTTTAAAGCATTATATAATCTATATTGAATAAAATTATACCATATATCCTATTCTATTCCATAAATTCATTAGTAGAGGAAAATCGAGTTACACTAAAAATTACTTTTAAAAGCCCTCTTACATTTCGGCGTTACGCAAAATTTAGGTATTTTACGTCCGAGCGGGCGACGACCTACGCGAGCGATACTTTATTTAATAATATCTATTCACTCATTCGCACTATGATACTGAGTATAGCGACTAAACGATCTTGATCTTCCGTGGTACAAGTTTTCTTGGGATGGAGTTCAGTGGAATATTTTTGTTGTGTCATTTTTATGTTATCTAATTAATTTATTGTAATCTATTTGATACATTTTTCATTATTTATGAACCTTAGTGTTGAAATAAGTACACATAAATATTTTAATTGTTTCACAGTAATCGATTGTTAACCGATGTTGGTTAATAATCGATTATATCTACTAACGGTAGCATAGTGGTATAAATAAATAAATAGTACGGTTGCAACCTGTTTTAGTAAATAAAACAACCAACTGTAACTAATATTTTTTTAATCGGTACTTACAATCAATTACCATATTTTCTATTATAAAAATATTTGCCGCAACGGCATTGACTAGCTTATCTCGAGTCAATAATTTCAGGCAATATACACTTCTTGTAAAACGCTTGTAACTTGGGTAACATATTCAAAATCAAAATTTGTTGTCTTTGTAGATTTTAAGTACTTTTACTGTATAATCTGGGCCAGTCCATATGGCAAGCATGCACACATTTTTATTCTCCATTATTATTTCTCCAGAGATAGGATATTTCCTTTTTTACGTTTAGTGACACATTGATACTTGTATATATTTTTCCACATTCCGACTGGTAAGAAAGCTCAGCTACAATCGAAATAACTATAATGAGTTCTGTATCTGGTATGATAATAATGTGCGAACTTTATACTAATTGAAATATACTGTACGAAAGTAAATATTTCCAACGATTAAAAACTGCGGGCGTAGTTGACGATGCTCTAGCACGCACAAAATAGCGCCACGGCAATCGATGTACACTACGATAATATCGAAACGAGACGGAGCGCGCGAAATCAACTGATACCGGTCCAATCTTGACAACCGCTCGCGCGGCAATGATTTCAAGTTGTCGATGCAGGGAAATATATGGCAGGATTATTTAATAAATTAAAGAATAATAGTAACGATTTAAAAAGTAAAAATCATAGTATAGTTTAAGCAAACGTTGATGATTATTTTAGTATAAATTTTACGTCAAAATTATGTAGAGCTTCGGAGATATTTGGGCTTGTATCGAAGCTTTTTCGGTTGTTAATTGAATTATGTCGGTTTTTTTCATTACGTAAAAGGCATATGAAGAAAATGTATTCTATAATTATTAAAGAATAGGATATTAAAGATATAAAAATATTTTTTTTGATGGTTGATATTCAATTGAATCTACAAATTAGAGCTCCCAAATCATGTCTCTCAGAGTGTTGGCCTAAACATGCATCGGGAGAATGATTATTACTAAATAAATAAATATCTAAAATTTATTCTGAGCTATTGTAGTACGAACTATTTTTACCAAGTAATTGTTATTTCAAGCAACGAACGGAAAACATACAATTCCAACGAGGAAACCTTGTAATTTCGCAATTTTTTTTTGTAATACTCCTCTTAACAAAGAGTAAGAGAAGAATTGAAAGTATTAGAAAGCATGAAATGATTTTACATTTTGAAGTCGTTGCTAAGATATTATGTATAGAAGAATCATAGCCCTTAAATTAACTTTTACTTCAAATTTATACGGGACCTTTGACGTAAAACCTATTCAATAAAAAAAATATCTAAATCGGTTCATAATTGGTGAAGATAGCGCGGAACACATACAAAAAAAGTAAAGTTGGCTAATTTATTAAAATTAAAAGTAAGCAGAAAGTTAACAAAACGCAAATATCTAAATAACTTTTGACAATAAAGATGCCCAACAAAAACACGAAATGGGACGTACATCTAAATAGACATGGAGATGAAAAGAAATATTGTGTAAACTAATAACACAGTGCACGCATTTCAATATGCGTGCACTGCTGTTTTACTGTGTTTTCCGGTGTGAAAGATGTATAGAGTAATTACAGGATGTGAGCCATTCCATGTTAGTTTTCAGAGGTGACAATCCATCTGTATCTTTACTTCTTTGTTTCATGTTGGCTACAGGTGTCCATGTGCTGCAGTAGCCACTTACCATCAAGTGAACTGTAATTTTGTTTGTCACTTTAGAATTATAAAAATATATAAAAATGTATCAGTAAACTCACTCTTTACGTGGTAGAGGCATTCTGCAGCTATATCATGGTTGTGGCACGAATGGGTCGGTTCGATCGGGGAAGGACCACGCTCTCACAGAATACCAGCGTGAAATGTGTGTTTCGTATGGTAAGTATAAAGAACCAGACCTTTTTTTACTGAAAACGAGGCATCTTAGTCCTCACGAGTGACAACGCATCTTAATTTTGTCTTTCGATAGATTGTAATTGTTTACGGGCCACAGCATCCACTTACTATCAGGTGGATTAAGTGCGCGTTTGTCACCATTATTTTATATAAAAAAACCATACGTTATTCTTGATATGACTGTGTAGTTGTTGCGTGTGAGTGCGTGCGCGCGTACCCCCGGAGAGCTTCTCCTGGTGCAGTTGGCGCAGGTCGGGCAGGCACAGCACGCGCACGGAGATGTCGGTCCACAGCCCCACGCCCAGCAGCGCCGGCTCGTCGCCCGGGCCCAGGTCCAGGCACGCCACCTCCTCCTCCATGCACACCTCCCTGCCATCACCAACACACACAAACCTTTTTATTTAATTCATTTAGTCATTACAACTCTTCACAAGTCCACTGCTGAACATAGGCCTCAGGCAGATGGCTCAGGAGCGTGCTTTGTGACATTCCTTTTATTCAATATAGATTATAAATAATACTTATTTTAAGTCACTCTTATGTTAACTTTACCACTGGTTCGGAAAATAACCATGTCCTGGGAAAAACCACCAAGAAACACAACACACACACATAAAAAACCCTGTTATTCTTGATATGACTGTGTAGTGTGCGGGTATGTGCGTGTGTACCTGTGTACATGCGTGCACAGCTGCGTAGCAGGTGCAGTGAGGCATGGCCGACGGCCAGCAGGTGGAGGCGCAGGCCACGTGTGCTTGTGTACGTTAGTACGCGCGTGTGCAGCTGTGTACGTAGTACGTACAGTAAACGTGTCGACGGCCGCAGGTGGAGGCGCGGGCCACCGTGGACGTTGCACTACTACCGAGCACCACCCAGGTGGAGGCGCGGCCACGTGTGCGTGTGTACGTGTGTACGTGCGTGTGCAGCTGTGTACGTACGTGAGCAGGTGCAGCGAGGCGTGGTCGACGGCCAGCAGGTGGAGGCGCGGGCCACGTGTGCGTGTGTACGTGTGTACGTGCATGTGCAGCTGTGTACGTACGCGAGCAGGTGCAGCGAGGCGTGGTCGACAGCCAGCAAGTGGAGGCGCGGGCCACGTGTGCGTGAGTACGCGCGTGTGCAGCTGTGTACGTACGCGAGCAGGTGCAGCGAGGCGTGGTCGACGGCCAGCAGGTGGAGGCGCGGGCCACGTGTGCGTGTGTACGTGTGTACGTGCGTGTGCAGCTGTATACATACGCGAGCAGGTGCAGCGAGGCACGGCCAACGGCCAGCAGGTGTAGGCGCGGGCCTGCGGCGGCCACGACGCGGGTGGCGGAGCAGGCCACTACGGACAGCGCACGCGCACCCTCCACGCGCCATTCCGCCACCAGCGACCACCCACCACCACCCCGCGCCACCAGGCGTACTCCCTCGTCTGTCACCTGAAATCAAACACTGTGTAGAGTACCTGGAATCAAACAATACGTAGAGTTTTAAGAAGAACTTGTTAAAATTTTAATAGCTGATCCTGCGTATCTGAGAAATAAAAAAAACAGGTTTTTACACGCGGTAGAAGAGAAACTTTCAGAAAAGTAAACTTTTAGAGAATGAGACGAATGCAGAGTATTAGGAGTAGGATTATTATAGTAAGGTTTGTGTAATTACGAGGGCGACACTGAAAGTTTTTAGAACCGGCCACTTGTAAACGGTATAATAAAAATAAGTTTAAAGTTTGAAAATCGAACTCTTTGCCAATATTATTGTTATGTAATTTATTACGAGAGTGCGTTTTTAAGTTCGCGGAATGGGTAGGTAGGTAATAAGTGGGGACGTAGCTGAATTAGGTGCTAATTAAGCAACTCATTATCAGCATAAATACCGGGTTTTATTGTAATTAGATCATTAGTCTTTGAGTTATCGTCAACCAAACAAGTCAATCGGGAAGAAATTGTGAAATATGGAGAAAATCGAGTTCCGTGCCGTTATAAAGTTCCTTACCAAGCCTTACCAAGGAAATTACTACGCTTCAATTCTAGAACAATTGAAGGAAGTCATAAAGGGAAAAATTGACCAAAGGAATCCTTCTTCTGCACGACAACACGCCTGTTCCCAAGTGCCATGTTGCGATGGCTGCCTGTAAAAGGTAGGCTTCGAAATTTTGCCACACCCACCCTATAGTCCTGACCTGACCGTGACATTGATTACTAATTCCAAACTTAAAAAAGGAACTTCGTGGGAAAAAAAAATTTAAGTGATGAAGAAGTGAAGGAAGCAGTTTCGGCTTATTTTTTAGACAAAGACATCTTTTTTTTTTTTGAGGGTATACATAAGTTAATTGAAAGATCCGAAACATTTATTAGGGTAGCTGGTGAATATATTGAAAAGGAAATTTTTTTTATTTCCACTCTTTACCCCCATTCCGCAAACTTTAAAATGTCCCCTCGTAATTTGTAATTTGGCGGCAAATTAAAAATTGTCTCTGTTACGTCAGCATGAATTCAACACGAGAAAATTTTCGTATAATGTTTTTTATGACTTTCGATGTCTAAGTCAACAAGAAAGTTATGATAGAATTCGATGGGCCTTTCACGATGAAGCCCCATCTCGTGCATCTGTTTACAACTGGTTTAATGACTTTAAACGTGGTCGCACTAATCTCACCGATGATCTGCATGAGGCCGGCCTTCTACCACAGATTTATAGCTTACATTATTATTAATATTAATTAGATAAATCGCGCACGCAAGCTAAATAAAACCATATCGCTGCGCGCGAGTGTCCATATTACTTTGCATATTTTTCCCTTCCTAAGTCACGGCAGACTTTCCGTGATTACTATGGGATGTTAATAAAGAGTAAAAAAATACATTGCAAGTTGTTAATTAAGTTACTTAGGAGAAGTACCTATTCTATGATCGACGAGTTTTGCGATGCCCAACGCATGCAACTTACAAGACCATTCGTCGGGAACCGAGGTGCTTGGCTCGGAAGAAACAACAAATAAACCTCAAATAGGATTCCTAACAGAAATGTGATCGTATTCTACTTAGTTAAAAATCTTATTAGTAAATAATAATTTCAGTATTTTGTGTTATTATAACTTAAATATATTTTAATTACTTAAGACAAGTAAAGGTCAGTGGCGAAGTCTCAATAGAAGTCGAAAAGCCGGGCTTGCCTTATCAAACTGAATCAATCTCTAATATCAATTAATAATATCAACTAATAAAATAACTCGTAAACTGTTTCAAACTATTTCAAATTTCCCGCGCACTCCACTGTTCGACACAGATCGACCGATGACCTCGTATTGCCTTAGCGATACTGTTGCTGCCATAAAAATGAGTTTTAATAAGGCGATTAGTTGTCTCTCTCGCTCGCGTGGGATTTTTACGGGGCTTTCGAGAAGACGATCGCTCTCTTTCGAAGGTCGGCGATCATTAAGGCAACTTGGATCTTTGATGCCGCGGCTCTGAATAAGGAACGGGTGCTCTTTCCAAACCATTGGCGTAGGTTTTTCAGCCAAGATGTTCTTCTTCGATCCACACTTCGTTTTCCTTTAATCTTGCCCTGTATGATAAGATGCAGTAGATCGTATTTTCGGTTTCTCATTATGTGGCCGAGATATTCAAGCTTTCTTCTCTTTACTAAATATACAACTTCTGGTTTTTAATTAGAATATTATATAATATAGGATATTTTTAAATATATTATAATGAAATATAATCGTAGTTATATTTCATTATAGAATATTTAAAAAATATTCTATAATGAAATATAACTACGATTGTATACAATATGTAACGTAATTAACGCACACCCTCAGACACCCCAATTAGTATATTATGTTATAATCATAATACATACACAGAATTTTTAGTTAAACATTTTTATGTACTGCTTATTTATCAAATTAGTTATACTAATTCCGGAAGAATGTTGTGGTCACAGTACAAATCCACAAACACAAAGACTTTAACGTGCTTGAAATAAAGTTCATTTTTCTTTATTTTTATTGAATGAGAGAATTAGTAATAATACAAATAAAACTGCACTCTTAAGTCTTATTGCCTTAAGTTACGGTCCATTTCAGTTTGTTTTGACTGTACAGATTTAGTGTGACTGTAATTTACGTAGTTTTAATTATTTTTGGGATAAAAAATTACCTATATTAAAAATGATAGGAATCGATTCAGTAAACGATTCTGAACAAACTACTTTCTCAAAGTGCGTTAATTATGTTATATGTTGTATATAGCAATTAGTATAGAGAGTTAAAGCCAGGCTTTAGAAATGAAGTTGTCGAGGGCTGAGGCGCGCGGGCAACACGTTTACAAGTTCATTTCACATTTCAATGTTTTTTACTCTGTGTGTTTAGCTTAAGCGATTTAAGGGCACACTAGTCACTCGTTCTTCCATACAAACGTAGTCTGGCGATTACTCCACTGTTTGATGGTGTACGTACAAAATAAAAATAATTTCAATTTGTCTCATCATTATCTAGCCCTGTATGGAAACAAAAAAGTAAAAAAAAGATTATGTTTAAAAGTTATAAGCGTCGAAAATTCCGAATTTCAACACTATTTTTAACACATCTTTGGGCGGAAATAAATACCATAAGAAGAACGAAAATTGCAAAACAGTTACCATACAGGGATAGATTAGTTGTTCAAAAATGTAAATAATTTTATTTTGAACAGATACATTCAATAGATTTTTCATGACATCCAGACCAAATGTCTGTTTATAAAATTTCGCGCGCTTCTTTTTGTTGTAAATCATCTTGCCTTTCGCTACAAATTTTTTCCCCGATCAGTGGGACGGACGGAGGGGGACGCAGCGCGCACCCACACATGCTCACTAGGTTAGCCGCTGCTATCTATTTATGGTTGTAATACCTACATATCTACATCTTTATTTAGAAAAATTGCTTCCTTTTGTTCTTGTCCACTTGCTGAAGCCGGGATGAATATAGCTGGTAAAATGTAATATAAAAAATGGTAAAATGTATGTAAAAAGTAAAATAAGTTTGTTGAAGCACATGTAGTTAAAATTGAAAACAGGTAGGTACATAATAATGAACTTTTGATACAGGTAGTACATTAGGTACTTAACTACTGTAATTTGCCAACTAACGAAAACATCTCATTGATAAGCACGATTGTCGAAAATCTTAAAATTATATATAAATTTAATTAGAATAGGTAATTTTTAGATTTTCGATAATCGTGCTTACCTATAGAAATCTCATATCCTAATATACCTAATGTAATTTATGTAAGTACATAAGAATCTGAGAAGGGCAGTCAATGATAAATAAAATTTGTTTTGTAAGTTGTTTTTTTGAAAAACACTTTAACACAACAAAAACATGAAACTGAGAAGAAGCACCCGATCTACCGAAACAAACTCAGAGAGGTCAGTCATTACATTGGTCATGTCATACGAGAACCAGGCAGGTGGCTAATTGTCCTTTGAAGAAAGAACCATACAGATGTGAGTGGACAAATGAGTACTTTTTAGGATTCCGTACCTGAAGGGTAACCAGCAGGGCCCTATTACGAAGCCTCCGCTGTCCGTGTGTCTATCTGTCAGCGGGCTGTATCTCATGATCCGTAACAGGTAGATGGTTGTAATTTTCACAGAACGTGTATTTCTGTTGCCGCTATAACAGCAAATAGTAAAAATAAATTTGAAATTAAAGGGTTTCCTACTAGAAAAAGAAACGTGTATTTTTGGTTTTCTTTTGATCGATAGTAATATGTGTATTAAATCTTGTAAGATGGTACGGAAGCTCGGAAGTCGGATTCGCACTTGGCAAATATTTGTTTATATTTAACCTTACCTCAGACATACTCATATTTTTTATATATAATTTACTATACTACTATATAAGCTACTACTAAATAAAATAGTAGTAGCTTTGCTATGGTATTATAGTATATATTTTGGTTTAGATTTAATTTATTACAGAATAATACGAACTATATAAAAATTAAGGAGCGCATCAACCTACATCAGATATTGGGTTATGAATACAGATAAGTACACATATGATTTAGTTTCTAATTTGTACATATTTTATAGCCTTCGTTATCAATAGTATAAACAGGTCAAGCCCCCTAGCCTACAAACATTTCGTAACAAATCTCTTTCTACAATCGCGCCTTTTATTTGTTTGGACTGACCACCTAACTCATTCAGTGATGTCATTCCCATACAGTGTTTAGTTTTCAACTAGCGTTATCTATCATAAAATAATTCAAAATTTTATTTATATTTCGCTAATTGTGTCTGTACTGTGAATTTGATTTATAATCAATCTCTAAATTGTAGTTTTCTTCCAATTACTTACCTTGTCTAGACGTGTTCTTTGGACTTCTGTAAGGAAGTCTGTGCTGTTAGTCCTATTCCGTTTAGGTACGTTACTATTTTGATAGACGTTTGTGCTTGTCCCTGCAGTGACTCAATTCCTATTGTTGATAACTTTCTAAGTACCAAGAGAATATTGCAAACCGCTATTGAACAAACAATCAATAAACAAATTACAAACTTTTTTATTTATTTAATTAACCTACATAAAAGCCCCACTCACATCAGAACTTTCATAATAACAACTAAATTGGGTTCATAATAATAACACCAATTTGTTTCCTCTCTCTTTTCTCTTTTTAAAATACGTTACCCCCACAGTAGGATTTTCTCCTGTATCGTGGGGGCAGTTTACAAACATAAATTGCACAAGGACAAACATCCAGACCTGGAACAACTATTTGTAGGCCATACAAATATTTGTTCCGTGCGGGATGCGAAACCGCGGCCCCCAGCGCAGTTACTCACTCACTCACTGCGCCAAGAAGCTCACAATTGCCCTTTGAGTTTATGTTATTATTCAAAAATGAATCGCATATGTAGGTACGCGATGACGCCGTCGCTATGCGTCACTCAAGAGTGCGCATGTGTGTGCGCCGCACTAGCTTCTTACTGCTCATCACAGCGTCTATCCCTTTCGCATGTGATGTCGCCTGAGATAGCATGCATTTTAACCCCGCCCACCATTTAGTTCGAGCTATCGACTAGGGCCACCTTAATATTGCGAGTAGAAAATTTATGCTTTTTTAAAGATTTTTAGTGAAAATGGAGGATAATAGTGTTCCTTGGGATGAATTGAAGTGTGTTAAAGCACAGAATAAATAATAGTACTACGTACAGAAGTTGCACTCTTTTGATGGCGACTGCTTGCCGATATTTAATAGCCTACATAATTATTATTAATCAGATAAATCGCGCACGCAAGCCATATAAAACTTTATCGCTGCGCTTTAGTTAATATGGACATATTACTTTGAATCTTTTCTGCTTACTAAGTCACGGCGGACTTTCCTTGGTTATTAAGGGATGTCAATAGAAAGTAAAAAAATACATTGCGAAATGTTAATTATGTTACTTAGGTGAAGTACCTATTCTGACTATGACCGACTGACCATACTTTCGCCCCTATGTGAGGTCTGCGATACTTAATGCACGCAAATTGCAAGGTCATGCGTCGGGAATCGCAACGCTTGGTTCGGAAGAAATAGGTAGATAGTGTAAACAACAAATAAATTTGAAATACGATTCCTTACAGAAATGTGACTTCTACTTATTTAAAAATCTTTATACAAAGTTTTAATTTTAGTATTTTGTGTTATTATAACTTAAAATATTTTAATTACAAAAGACAAGTATAGGTATGTAAGTAAATACTAGGATAGTGAAGTAAATTTTAACTAATTTTTGTGATGAAGTACTTAGGTATTTCTTCTGTAGACCAAATTATTAATTAGCTCTTTTTTGCTGTAAGTACATATCCAACAAAAAATAATTAAATAAATTCACCTTTCATAACTTCCTTCTAAAATTCTTCGGTAACTTAAAAAGATGAATTCTTTTGTTGGTCATTTCATTTAGTATCCACCCACCCAACAGTAATATTAGGAACGACTTTTTGCTATTATAATATTTATCAAATAATAATTTTTAAAATACAACTTTTACAACTATTTTTACCTACAATTAAATATACTAAACACTAAACAAAAACTATTTCAACAATATTTACGAAAGTTATATACATAAACAGCGTTAAAAAACTTTAACATTCAATCGCCTCCAACGCGCTAGCCCTGACTGCGTTATTTCACCCGGGCGCGTCGCGATTCTAGGTAATTATTTCACGTAGGTAGCAAGAGTGATAGCGGCCTGGTTAAAGTGCTAATCGGAGTGTGCTAAACACAAGGTCAAGAGCGTATTTCAGACTTATCAATTATCGCATTTAAAAAACAGTTACTGGTACAATTAAAACGTTCACCAACATTTTACGTGGACGTAATTAAATCTTTCCTTAAGAAAGGGAGACGATTCCATTTAGGATGTAAATAATTTGATATTTTTTTAAATGTTGCACATAGTTTGTACTTTGTTCAGGTTTTACTTTTGTTCATGTATTGTATTGTATGTAAATATCTTTTTCTTTCGCTCAAACAGACCCAAACGGCTTTCTTCAAAGCCATATATGTTAATAAGGTGATAAGTAATACAACCTATCTAGCAGTAGTATGCCTTCTGTGTGCTTTGTTAAACACGTCCTTAACAGCACTGAATATGAAACTGAAGAGTGGAGACAGATCAAGATTGGTGTATTTTTATAAAACTGCTAAAAACAACAATCTATATTTTTATTAATTTATATCTTGGACTTGCCCTAGTTTGGAGCTCTAGCTACGCCACTGGTATAGGTATGTAAGTAGATACTTGTATCTTGTGATAGTGAATTAAATCTCAACTAAGTTTTGTAATAAAGTACATAGGTAGGTATTAGTTACTTCTGCAGATAAATTATAACATAATTCTTTTTTCCTATAAGTACCTAAAAATAAACTCACCTTTCATAACTTCCTACTAAAATCCTTCGGTAACTTAAAAAATAATATAAGTATCTGAAACCTTTTGTTGTTCATTTAGCATCTATCCACGCAACAGTTATAGTAGGAACGACTTTTTGCTAATACAATTGATCAAATAGGTAATTACTGAATGTATATAATTTTTAAATTACATTAAAACTTTTTCAACTATTTTACCCTACAATTAAATATACTAAACACTTAACAAAAATTATTTCAACAAGTATTTACAAAAAACTATTTACATAAACAGCGTTAAAAAACCTTAACATTCAATCACCTATAACGCGCTAGACCCGACTGCGTATGTTATCCTGGGTGCCTCGCGATTGTAGGTAATTATTTCACGCTGGGAGCAAGAGTGATAGAGGGCTGCTTCTACGGCGACGGCGGTGTATGATAGAGACTGACAAAAGTGTGACTTATCAGCAGATTCGCACAAGTTTAGGCATCGGTATGAGTCAAGTGCACAAAATACACCATGAACGTTTAGCAGTCTGGAAGCTTTGTGCACGGTGGATACCTCATAATTTGACAGAGGCCTAAAAATTCCGTCGTGTTAAGAAGGAAATGTCGTCGTGAAATGGTTCAAAGATTTAACGGAGGTAACTCAAATGCTGTGCTAGACATACTTACGGGTGATAGTTTATTTTCTAGATGGTCACATTTTTCTAATTTCATATCAATAGATATCAAATTCATCCTTATTAGATTACCTCAAAAAATTTTAATGTAAAAGTGCACTTACTTGTATAAGTTGATCATGACAGACATTCCCAGTAAAAAATGTTTGACGGTCCGATACGAAGCCTTTTATATCAGTTTCCTCCACCTCTTCGCCGTTTAATGTCAACACTCTGTAAAAAATAAAAGCATTTTAGATGCCGAAGTAAGGTTTTGGAGTGAGAGCTTCGTACTGATAAGCGTAGTGTTCACACACACCCCACTAGAGGAACAGTCATTTAAGATAGGAAAGAAAGAAAGAAAGGTTCCAGAGTTAAACTTCAAAGGTTACAGTCTCATACTGGTAAGAGCAGTGTTAACCGACCCCCACTGGATAGTGATAACCACTTTAGGTAGGTAAGAAAGGTTTCAGAGTTAAAGTTCAAAGGTTACAGTCTCATACTGGTAAGAGCAGTGTTAGCCGACCCCCACTGGATAGTGAACCATTTTAGGTAGGTAAGAAAGGTTTCAGAGTTAAAGTTCAAAGGTTACAGTCTCATACTGGTAAGAGCAGTGTTAGCTGACCCCCACTGGATAGTGATAACCACTTTAGGTAGGTAAGAAAGGTTTCAGAGTTAAAGTTCAAAGGTTACAGTCTCATACAGGTAAGAGCAGTGTTAGCCGACCCCCACTGGATAGTGATAACCACTTTAGGTAGGTAAGAAAGGTTTGAGAGTTAAAGTTCAAAGGTTACAGTCTCATACTGGTAAGAGCAGTGTTAGCCGACCCCCACTGGATAGTGATAACCACTTTACGTAGGTAAGAAAGGTTTCAGAGTTAAAGTTCAAAGATTACAGTCTCATACTGGTAAGAGCAGTGTTAGCCGACCCCCACTGGATAGTGATAACCACTTTAGGTAGGTAAGAAAGGTTTCAGAGTTAAAGTTCAAAGGTTACAGTCTCATACTGGTAAGAGCAGTGTTAGCCGACCCCCACTGGATAGTGATAACCACTTTAGGTAGGTAAGAAAGGTTCCAGAGTTAAAGTTCAAAGGTTACAGTCTCATACTGGTAAGAGCAGTGTTAGCCGACCCCCACTGGATAGTGATAACCACTTTAGGTAGGTAAGAAAAAGGTTTCAGAGTTAAAGTTCAAAGGTTACAGTCTCATACTGGTATGAGCAGTGTTAGCCGACCCCCACTGGATAGTGATAACCACTTTAGGTAGGTAAGAAAAAGGTTTCAGAGTTAAAGTTCAAAGGTTACAGTCTCATACTGGTAAGAGCAGTGTTAGCCGACCCCCACTGGATAGTGATAACCACTTTAGGTAGGTAAGAAAGGTTTCAGAGACACAGCATCGTACTAGTGAGAGCAGTGTTGGATGACCCCCACCAGAGAAAATAACAACCATTTTAGATGGGTACGAAAGGTTCTGGAGTGACATCCTTGTGCTGGTAAGTGTATTGTTGAACGACCCCTACTAGATAGTGATAAAACACATAGGGTTTACTACTAGATAGTAAAGTATGACTGTGCTTTGAGGCCGTTTCTAGGGCAGGCCTTTGTTCAGCAGTGGATCATGAATTCGTGATTTGCTGGAATGATGACAATTATGATAATAGTATTGTCATAGAATTGGGTATCATAGAAGTCTATTGGATAAAATGTTAATAAGCTTTAATAATTAAAAAGGCAATCAATATGATGTGGTCTAGTGGTTGTGAGCGCAACTGCTGGATCACGAAGTATAATCGGCAATTGGATTTTACTATCAAGACATTATCCCCCATATTAGTGTTTCACCCCTGTGCCTCGGAAAGCACGTAAATATATTGGCTGTTATCTCTCCAGTCATGTTGGATTGCCATTCCACTGGACTCTTAGTTTTTTTATATAGAATAAGGACAACAAATGAGCACACAGTCCACCTGATGCTAAGTGGATGCTAAGTGGATGCTGTGGCTCATAGACATCTACATTTATCTCTGATTAAGAATCAAAATGCAGATGCGTTGCCACTCTTGAAGACTAAGATCGAATGCCTCATTTTCAGTAAAAAAAGGTCTCCTTCACTACACTTACCATATGGAACACAGCAGCATTGAACTGCTAGTTTACGTTGGTATTCTGAGAGTGTGGTCTTTCCCCGGTCGAGCCAACCCATTAGTGCTAAAACTATACTACTAATATAACTGCAGCATGGCTCTACCACATATAAAATGCTGTTGTGTTTCATATGTGAGTGTAGAGAACTAGAGACCTTTTTACTGGAAATGAGGCGTTCCATCTTCGTCTTCAAGGGGTGACAACATATGAGCATTTTGATTCTTAATCGAGGATAGATGTACATCTTTTTTTTTAAATATTGTTCTAAGCCACCGCTTAGCTATATTCCCACCTCATGATAAGTGGTGATGTAGTCTAAGATGGTGAATCACACTGACTTCAATAAAACCTATTCACTCATGCCTTGAAGACAGACACTGTGGGTACACTGTAATCGGATGGAAAGACAGATGCTACAACCATAATATAGCTTCAGCATGGCTTTATCACGTACATATATAATGATTGTACAACTTTTAGCTATGTTGGAGGTGTATATTACAGATGCTGCCTCATTGATCTAGTGGTTGTAAGCAGTAGATCTATAATCATAAATATATGTTTTTTACACTGTGTCTAGATCACTCGTATTTGCCTGAAGGACTGATGCGAACAATGGTACCAATTATTAAAAATAAGACAGGTGATGCTTCTGATATTTGCAACTACAGGCCCATCTCACTTGCTACCACCGCGGCGAAAGTACTTGACAATTTGTTAAATGGTTGCCTCATAAAATATGTAGATGTGCATGATGCCCAGTTCGGTTTCAGGGCGGGATTGTCGACGGAAAGTGCAATTCTTACATTGAAGCATACTGTCGGTTATTACACGGCTAGGAGGACGCCGGTATACGCGTGTTTCCTCGACTTGTCCAAGGCTTTTGACTCGGTCAACTATGATATACTATGGAGCAAGTTGAGGGACGCAGGTGTGCCGGCGGATTATACTTCTCTGATCGAGTACTGGTACAGTAATCAAAAAAACCAGGTGAGATGGGCGGGTACGCTATCAGATGAATACAGACTAAAATTTGGTGTCAGACAAGACCGTTTAAGCTCACCGTTGTTATTTAATTTATATATTAACCAGCTTATCGTGGAACTGGTTAGCACACATGTCGGCTGTCATATTGACGGGACATGTGTTAATAATATAAGCTATGCAGACGACATGGTGCTGCTCAGTCCATCTATAGGCGGGTTAAGAAAATTATTGTGTATTTGCAAGAAATATGCGGAGGACCACGGCTTGAAGTACAACTCGAAAAAGAGTGAAATTCTTGTTTTTACAGCACCGAAACAACCGCCGCGTTGTGTTCCTCCCGTATACCTCAATGGTGTAGCCCTAAATATTGTTAATACTTTTAAGTATCTCGGTCACATTATAACGAGCGATTTAAGCGATGATTGTGATATAGAGAGGGGAGCGTAGGGTGCTGGCAGTTAGGAGCAATATGCTTGCCCGCAGGTTTGCTCGATGTACAGATGTCGTAAAAGTTACTCTTTTCAAACCATTTTGCCAATTTTTTTACTCGAGTAGCCTGTGGGTATCATACAGGCGACGAGCTTACAGCGCTCTTCGCATACAATACAATAACGCTTTTATGATGCTATTAGGACTGCCATGGCGGTGTAGTGCCTCGAACAAAGACTGATGGTTTTCATGCTGTTATGCGAAAGAAATCAGCCTCAATGTTACAGCGTCTGCGAAACAGTAACAATAGCATTTTAAAAATGATCGCGGCGAGACCAGATTGCCACTTTCAGCAACACTGGCACTGGCAATAGCATTTTCTGACAGGTTTGAGGTCAGTACCTGAACCATTGTCATATGGTGCGTGCTGACTAATCGGGCCTGTCTTAGATTTAGTTTTAAAATTAGGTAAATAGTTTTAAGTTTTACTAAAATTAGTTTTAAGATTTGTATTATTGATCTTTATTATTACTAACATCTATGATCCTTGTGGTCGAAATAAACGAATTTTTATTAACGAACTCGACAACGCCCCTTCTTGTAGCGGAAGTGGTGGCAACGGAAATATAAGGTATTCGTCTGAGTGCATGTTTGTGTGTGTGTGCGGGCGCGCGCGTGCTTTAGTGTGAGTGTGTGTGCACGCGCGCGGGGTGTGAGTGTGCGTGTACGCACACATACTCGAGTGATAAATTAATTTGTAATAAAGTACTATCCATCATCTTCTAATTGATCTATGACAAATTAATAAAATAACACAAATTCACTCACACAATAACAAAAACTCGAACAAACGTCTTTCCACAATAAAACCTGCCAAAGTTTGATCCACAAAATCAGCAGATAACGCATTTTCTTACCTTATTACTATAATAAAGTAGCCTACTGGGTTCTCTGTCACACACAGAACGCGACGTTGCCGCTTCGTGTTCGAGTACCTATTCATTAATTATGGCTCCGGATCCACTTAGTCTAAGTAAATGTCGCATATAAATTAAATATACTCTGGATCTAAAAAATCATATTCAGTATGATTTTTTCGACCGTTGATAGATCAACAATTGTTGGTCAAATCGCTGACGAGTATATTGAAAACCTGGTAGTGCAGATCCACCGACGTCACACGCGCATCAAGGATGGATCAAAATATATCAGTTTGAGCGACGAGGAGCTGAGCAAACACGTCAAATAGGTGGATCAACAATTGTTCTAACTTCTCACTGGATCAACATTTACCGTGAAAGGATGATTATATATATATATATATATATATATATATATATATATATATAATCGGTAATTGTATTTTACTGTCAAGACATTATCAGTAGCAGCCTGGAGTCAGCATATTTGCGGTGTTTTACCCCCGTGCCTCGCAAAGCACGTAAATATGTTAGTCCTTATCTCCCCGGTCTTGTTGGATTGCCATCCCACTAGATTATGAGAGTGATGGAATAGAGAGTGCATACACTGGGGATGCACTCGTGCACTATAATCCCTTCCTGCAGATGACTTGTCTCCGTTGGGATTTGATGCAGTGATCAAATTCTGGAGGACATTATTATACTCTAATGATAAGAATCGCAATTCTGTAGTTATTGAATTACCTGGTCTGTCCTACGAAGGAGAGCACCAGTGTATCATGGTAGGTAGAGTTCTCTGCCAGGGTGAGGGGCCACATGCCCTTGATGCCGGGTAAGTCAATAGACGCCTGCTCCTGGATGCCAATGCCATTCCTGATGATACGGAGGGATCCCATCTTGAAAGCACCTGTCAAGGTACACATTATTACCAGTTTTTTAGTGATGGAGTAGGAAATAGAAATAAATAATATAGTATGTTATTTATTTATTACATTATTTGTTCATTACATGGTAGATCCATGCTGCAGTTATATTAGTAGTATAGTTGTAGCATGAATGGGACGGCTCGACCGGGGAAGGAACACACTCTCACTGAATACCAGCGTCAAATAGTAGCTTAATGCTGCTGTGTTTCGTATGGTGAGTGTAGAGAACCGGAGACCCTTTTTACTGGGAACGAGACAATCCACCTAAGTCCTCACGGATGACAACGCATTTGCATTTTGATTCGTAAGAAGGAGGTAATTTCGAGGATAGATGTAGATGTCTATGGGCCACAGCAACCACTTACCATCAGGTGGACTGTGTGCTCATTTGTCATCCTATCCTATAAAAAAAATTAAGTTAATTGTATATATTCATTAATTGATAATTTTAATTAATAATACTATAATGAGGTTATAATAATATTAATGATTGCCAATATTTGCAGTGCCCTTGCAGGGTTTTTGGTTTGGAACTAATTTTTATACATAAAATAATATAAAATACATAAACACTCACGCCTGTCACCCAGATGGGTAGGCAGAGACTATAAACTTCCATTTGGCATGATCCTGACACACCTCTCTCGCTTCCACCAGATCCATATACCTACGCATACATGCTCATCGGTTAAGGGTACTCTTAATTTGGCCCATTTTCAATAAATCGCCTATTTGGTCGATAAATTTTTGCCTAGGACGTCCCTTTCCGACTCTTCTGCAACATAAATTTGCTTTGTCACTCCTTCCTCACTCATTCCTTCTACATGACCAGACCACCGAAGCATTCCTTTCTTAATCCTCGTCACAATACCATCTTGCAAATTTTTTTATAATTGAGACCAAATATATACAACAAAAAGAGCAAATAAATTGAATTACGCATAGTCGCTTCGAACCTTATATCCCTTAATTTCTATCAGTTTAAAATTTTGACCGTGTTATGAAAATGTAAGAATGTTCACTACCCCATATCGTCTTGTGGTTGTCGTGAGAGGCGATAGAGGAAACAGGAGATGGGCAGCAGCATCCTTTCTTTTATAAGATAGAAAAGCATTATATTTCTCAAAATCACGTCAAATCCACCAGCCAAGAAAAGAGCTCACTCCTTTCTAAAAGGTTGGCAACGCACCTGCAATTCTCTGGCGTTGCGATGTTCATCGACGGCGGTAGTCACTTATCATCAGGTGAGCCGCATGCTCGTTTGCCCCCTCTTCTATCAAAAAAACCTTGACATTTTTTTATAATAAAAACTGAAGAGAGAAACTAACTAACATACATATCTTCCGATGGTTAGTGTATTTTGTAATCCAAAGACCCTTGCTTCTAACTTCATGCAAAGACAACTATAGATGTGTTGTCGCCTCTAAGAACTAAACATTCTTTTTTACTTTTCATAAGCTAGTGCTTGTAATCCCACCTGGTGGTAAGTGGTGGTGCAGCCTTAGATGGTAAATCGCACTGTCTTAGCGAACATGGAACGCATCACAGCCTGTGATTACACTAGTTTCCTATTTCTACAATATGCCGACAGGAATAGGTTAGAGAAATAGGTTACCTAGCCAGACAGAGTTCTAAGCATACAAGAAATATCACATGGTAAAGCATGGCAACTCTGGTAATTATCCCCTGATAAGTAGAGATGGGCCGAATATGGATTTCACCAAATACGAATATTCGGCCAAAAGTTCGGTAAAACCCTTACGGAACCGAATATTCGGCCGAACATTACTCGGCAGGATCACCTCGGTACCTAACCAATTTATGTCGAAACTTGTTATCGTAAAGCGCGCGTAATTAGCGCCGAACGCTGCCCCTCGCTTCCTCGCCTCACCAGACATGTTATTGCATCATCTAATACTGAGCTACATTGTGACTATTTTTGTGAGAAAAAAAATATTTCGATATGTTCTTCTTCTTCTTTCTTTTGTGGTGGTTTGATAAAATTCGCCAATGACGTATTGAGTGGAAAATGAAAGCTTATGAGTTTAATTAAAATAAGAGTCTGTGATAATACAAGGATTCAGTTTTCCTCCGAGAATTTTGACAAATCTATTTGTTGAATTACCTAGAACAAATATGACAAACATAGCTGTTAAGACTCTTACCAGTATGTTAAAAGTGACAAGGATTTAAAGTTTCATATTATTAGTATTAATAAAATCACATAAAATATACACAAAAGGAGTACTGGTATATGTTAAAAGAGAATTAAAATCTATAGGTCGAGGAATATAAGGAAGAAGGTAATCATAAAGGGAGGAGGATAATTTGGGACAGCTGAAAAACATATGGTTTTTGGAACCTTCATCTAAGCCACATTCACACAATGAGCTATCCCTTACTCTGATCTTTGCTAGATGTGCATGTGTACAAGCGTGTCCAATTCTTAATCTACAAATGATTGAAGTTGCATGTTTATTTTCTTTGTTAAATTTAAAGAACCAAGGCTTGGGAGGAATAACCTCTTGGATGGCAGCATAGTGCTTACCTTTAACATTTTTGGAAACTTCCCATAATTTATTCCAATTTTCATTCAGTTTCCTTTTAGCTAGCAAAATTAGGTCATGTGAGTTAATTAAATTTTGTAGAATGCCATTAGCAATTGCATTTTTAGCGAGTACATCAGCTGTTTCGTTACCATAGATACCACTGTGGCCTGGAATCCAGTCCACTGAAACGTGGATTCCTTTAAGATGACATCTGAATAGGGTATTTTTTATTTTAAGAATTAGTGGAAATTTATGTTTGTTATGGAATTGATTGGACAAAATAGCTAACAAACAACTTTTTGAATCTGTGAAAATAACTGTTTTATTAAGATTATGTGACTACATATAACAAAGCTTCACTGATTGCAGTTGCTTCACCGGTAAAAGTGGAGGATATTGAGGGGCATTTAAAGTTAAGAATGATTTTGAACTTAGGAATCCAAACAGCAGCTCCAGTATAGTCTTCATCAGACTGTTTTGAAGCGTCTGTGTACATGACAAGCCAATCTTTAAAGGTGTTTTCTATAATTTCTTTTAATTTCAAATTTGCCATTGGAGAACCCTTTTCTATACCTAGATCTAGATGAATGTCGGGTTGGTAAACAATAGCCTCGTAAGGAACATCAAAGAGTGGATTTATTTTACATTGAAAGATTGGGTAAGGAAGCTGAAGAAAAATTACAAAACTTTTAAACAAGCAGGGAGAGTCCTTATGGGTCCAGTATCGGTCAGATGAGATATACTCTGAAAGAAGATGCAATTTAGGAATTAGGGGATGATCTGAAAGCTGGCAGATCTTAAATAAGAATCTGTCTGAAAAGTATTGCCTTCTTAATCTTAAAGGAGGATCTACGCACTCAACTTGAAGAACATTTATTGGTGAGGATTTCATTGCCCCTGTAATAATGCGAAGGCATTTCGATTGAATTTTGTCCATTACTTTCAGAGATGATTTATTGCAAGGCTCCAACAGAAAACATCCATAGTCAAGGTGGCTTCGTATTAAAGCATTGTACAGTAATTTCTGAGAAAAAGGATGGGACCCCCACCAAACACCAGACAAATACCGAAGAATATTTATGTTTTTTTCGAATTTTTGTGTTATATATTCAATGTATGGACCAAAGGCCAATTTAGAATCAAGGATAACTCCCAAAAATTTTACATTGCCTCTAACTGGAATAGGTTGCTTATCATATACAACAGATATATCGGGAACTCGCCTTTGGCGGGAAAAGATCACCACACTACTCTTGGCCACAGATAAAGAGAGGCAATGATTAGTTAACCATTCTTGTAAATAATCCATGGATGAGTTTAGACGGGAACATGCTACTGTGAAGTTGTTTAAGGAGATGTATAGAGCTAAATCGTCTGCATATTGAAGAACATTACAAAAAGAATTTACTGAAAGTTCTAAATCGCGAGTATATATAGAATAAAGGAGAGGACTAAGAACTGAGCCTTGTGGAAGTCCTTTCCATATAGTTTTTGGGGGGAAGCAGGAGATTTTTAACATTTATAGATATTGATCTAGAAGAGAGAAAGTTAGAAACGTAATTGACTATCCTCACTGGAATGCTCAGATTAAGCATTTTCTGCCTGAGCACAGGAAGAAGCACATTATCATATGGTACAGTAAACAATTCCTGAGCAGAAAAGGGGGAATCAAATTTATCATTTGTTTTTAAAAAAAGCAGAATTAAAAACTAGGCATTCATCATAAGATGGGACTGTTTGTGGTGCAATTTTATTAGAGAATTCATCTATCCACGGGGAAGGATCATTAAAAATTATATTTTCACTAGAAACTGCACAGCGATATTTTTTAACATTTCTCCATACCAAAGATGGGGGAGTCCTAGGTGACAGTGACTCACAGAATTTAAACCAACTAGTTCGCTTTTTGTCTGACAGTAATTTTAAGGTTTCTGCAGCAATTTTTTTTATAGGAGATATAATTCTCTGCAGTCATAGAACGGGAGTATATTAATTCAGCCTCTTTTCTTCTCCTACAAGCTGCTGAACAATCTTGGTCCCACCAAGGAGGTGAAGGATAATTATTTTTGAAAGGTTTTTTTTGGGGGATTGAGGAAAGGGGATTGACTTATTAGCAGCAGAAATAATTGCATTTCTGAACTCTATATATACAGGAGCAATATTATCATTGTTAATTGGGGGAAGAGTTGAAACCTCTTGTTCCAAAACTGTAGAATATAATTGCCAATTAGCTTTGGATAGATTATACTTTAGTCTTGGGCAAAATGTAAAATTTATTCTAGGTGAAGTAGGAGGAGTGATAAATATAGGAAAATGATCACTGCCATAGCTAGAAGGTAATATTTGCCACAAAAGAAGGGAAGCAATATCCGGGGAACAGAGAGTTAGGTCAACGGCACTTCTAACATTTTGTAATGGGGATACTAGACGGGTAGGAGACCCATCATTTAGAATACAGAGATTAAAATTATCAATAAGATCTAAAAATAAGGGAGCCAGCGAATCACACAGATGGGAGCCGCAAACAGTATGATGCATATTAAAACCTCCCAAAATAACCATAGGAGGTGACAGAGAAGAAATAAGTGTTGCAAGTTCTGTTAAAACATTTACATCAGGATTGGGAATGTAAACAGAGAGAATAGAGACATCAAGGGCCTTAATAGCAACAGCATTTACTGCTGGACTATGAGAAGGGAGAGGAATTTGTGAAAATGTAACTGTTCTTGAAATTAAAATAGAGGTGCCAGCATGACCATCACTCCTATCATCCCGGAGGCATGCGTAGCCTGAAACCCTAAAATGAGACTCAGGCCTAAGCCATGTCTCCTGGATGGCAAGAATGAAGGGATGAAGTTTATTAATGAGGTAAATGAGTTAATTTTTTTTATTTCTAATGCTCCGACAATTCCATTGAAGAAGTGGTGGAACTGCGAATGTTACGGGCTAAGGAGGAAAGCTGAGTAAGTTTTTGGTGTAAGCTGAGAGAAAGTTCCGTGTCATAATATCATAAGTTCGCAAAAATTATCATTACTAGAGGAGTTGATGTCATTTCCCAGTAGAGCACACCCATTAGGAAGGGAAGAATTAGGATTCTCAACAATTGCCTGATGGGCTGCCACATATCATATCCAGAATTTAATGATTGGCTGCAGGTACGTTGAGGGATAAAAATTGTTATTTTATATGATGCAGTTTGTGAGAGCTGAGCTGAAGGGGTTGAAAGACTGTCAGTTATAGTATAAGGGGTCTGTTGAGAACAATTACGAGGCTGGATTCTTGTTGTTTCAGCAAAGGATCTTTTTGTCTGAGGGAATCTAGCTGAAGCTTCTAAATATGAAATATTTTCTTGTGACATAACAAGTATAATAGATTTTTGCCTTAGATGTTCAGGACACGTAGGGTCTTTTGCGGTGTGGGGACCAGAGCAGAATAGGCAAGTAGGAGTTTGTCGAGTACAAGATAAACCTTCATGATTTTGTGCACATACAAAGCAGCGAGGGGATGATCGGCACTGGGAAGTAACATGGCCAAATCTACAACATTTATGACACTGAATTAGTGGCAAAACATATTTTTCCACTGGCGCTGAGGTGTAAAAACAGTAAATATGGGGGGGAAGTTTTTGTCCAGAAAAAGTTAGAACAACCATCTGAGTTGGAACCCATGAAACGCTATTTCTGTCACTCACTGATCGTCTATTAAGTCGCCGTGCTTTAATTATAGAACCGTAGTCAGAGGGAATTTCTATAGCTGCTATTAATTCTTCTAGTGTCCACTCTATGGGAACTTGTCTAACTAGTCCCATACGCGTGATACTATATGAGGGGATGGTTGCTTCATATTTAGAAATTTGGAGAGCTGGGTGATCGATAAAGGTGTTTGCATCTGCAGCTGTTTTAAACTCCACGGATATTCTATTTCGTCCAACTTTTTTGACTCCATCATGGACTATATTTTTAATATTGTTATGATACAGAAAGTGACCGAATTTAATTGGTTTAAGAGTTACTCCAGACAGCTGATCATTTGAGATTTTACTTACGTGAACTAGAAAAGGAGCGGCATCATCTTGAGAGTACTTAACTTTTTTATTAATAAAATCAGGATGGGTATATGAGGATTGTATTGAAGGAAACTGTTGATTTGGATCAGTAATAACTATTTTTTGTGGATGGGCAGACTCGTTACTTACTTGGGCACGTTTGCGGTTAATTAGTTCTACATTATCAATGTTAGTGGGTAAGGAAAAGGAATCATTGCGAACCCTTCCGGGATCGGGAGGTTCGTCCTCCATTATATTACTACAACAAAAAATTACATAAAAATGGCACAACTACAAACACTTACTAATTTACGGATATTAAAACCTCCACCAAGACAGAAAAATTTACTATAGTAAATCAATAACACTTAATAAAACAATAAATTTTAAGCAAAAAAGGCATGACACTTGTATCTCTCACTTCCTCCGACAAGTTGCTTTCGATATGTTATTCTTGGTGAAAATTGATAATTATGTAATAAAAATGAGTGGTAGGAGATCTACTATTCGGACTTATTTTAGAGAAACTGACAAAGTAAAGTGAAATGTACTAATATAATTTAATGTTTCAGTTTGATTTCAAAAACATTTTATCAAGCTTTATATTTGCTATAATTGGAAATAAATCTACAGTGCCTCAAAAACATAACGCTATACAAGTAGATTCAACCCGTAAAAATATACTTTCAACAGTAAAATAATGAAAGACATGGCACTCGCACATTTAAATACAATGGACACTATGAGTACCACTTTAACGAATGTTCGGTGATTTAACCGAATATTCGGTAAAGCTGCCGAATATCGAATATGAAACGAATATTCGGCCTATCTCTACTTATAAGGCTAAGGGGAGGTCTAGTTTCAGCAGTATTAGTTGACTGTATTGATGATGGTGATGAATAAAAACACACTTGGACAAGAAAACATAACTAACCAGAGCAAGTTATGAGTTGGTTCTGTCCCTGTCGCTCGAGATCAACCACACACATGTCCACGATAGGTGCTAGGCTTGTGAAGCTCTCCATGGGCTGAACGTATTGACTCAACTCGTCCCGAGTGGCTGACAACCGAACTAGGGCAGAGTCTCCCAAACGGGATCCGATGAATACCACACCATTGTCTAGGTACGTCATACATTCTGGTATCGGAATTTCACCTGCAAAAACAGAAAAATTTATGCCTTAAGTAAAATTTTTTGCATTAAGTAACCGACTATCTATCTTCATTATTATAAAGTTAAAATAAATTAGTAATATCTCCCTGAGGAAATAATTCACCATGAAGTGGTGGTGTACCTGGTACTCGATATAGTAAGAGATCACAGAGGGAAACAGGAACATAAGATGAGCAGCAGCATCATCCTGATAACGACTCAAAATTATTTACTGAATTTTTTTTCTTCAAAAATGACAAATGAACACAGTCCAACTTGGTGGCCTATATAATTTAAAATGTCACTGCTGAGGACTAAAATGAAAAGCCTCGTTAACATTAGAAAGGGTTATCAGTATGTCACTCACTATATGAAATATAGTAATTTGTGAATATTTACAATCACAAATTACACGGATCACAAGTAATCAACTATAAATTGTACTGAGACTAATTTAATAGCTGATAATAATTAATTAATTCGTTTCCTCGAATTAAGGTGGCTCTAGTCGACATTATTTCCATAGAAATTTCGGAGGGGTTTTACTCCGCTGTTTGACAGTGTACATCCAAAGTTAAACATGATATCGTTTTGTCTCATTATTAATTTTGTCTGTACCGAAACAGAATAGTAAAATAAAAAGTCAGTAAAAAGTTACGAGCTACCAAAGATTCGTTTTTATTGCCAATTTTAACACAACTTTGGGCGTAAATTAGTAATAAAAGCAGTGTAAAATTTCCAAAACAAAGTCGGTACCGACACAGCTCAATTATCGAAGAATTCAATAAATTTTATTGGTAATTGATTCATGCAGTGGTTTTTTCGTAAAACCCCCTCCTTCCAAAGGCCTTTTCGTATTTTTTTACGCGCGCGTGTTTATAAGAATTATCGTGCATCTCACTGAATAACGTTTCCCCCGGTGCGGTGCAGGAGGACGACACTTACACACACATGCATGCGCGGTGACGCGCGCTTATTCTAGTTTTATTCGACTCAGTCAGCCTCAGCTGCGGCCTGTGACGTTCGTATGACTATAGCTATACCTGCGCTCTAAATTACTACGCTACATTGACCCCTGCTTGAACTTTGGATTAAATCAAATTGATATAAGCACAGACAAAAATAGAGGAATATATAAATAAAATTTTGAAAAAAAAAAAACGATCTCAAAATTTTATTAATGTTCCGCTAATTTTATCTGTACTTACCTATGTCAATTTGATTTACATTCGATTATAATTATATTCTCAGACGTGCAGGTTTCCTCAATATGTTTTCCTTCACCGCCGAGCACGTGGCAAATCAGCACAATTGCAATTAACAATTTCATTGGTACCGGCGGGGATCGAACTCGGGTCTGCATGTCTGAGAAATTAAAAAATATATACTTCGAAGAAATGTGAAGTTCGTCAACACGCATTGAGGCAGCGTGGCGGACATTTCCTTGCCTTAAAACCCTCTCAGAAATTAGAGGAGGCCTGTGCCCAGCAGTGGGACGTATATAGGCTGTAACTTTACTTTTTTTTACTTTTATAAATATGTTATTTTACCGACGAAAATTTTAAAGAAAAATAAAAAATAAGCAACCGACAACCTCCTAGGTCCCTAGGTGACCTGCGAGATGTCAGTGTAACAAAACAAAACGGCCCAGAAAAACAGACTTTCCAACTGATAGCTAAATCAGCACGCAACAATTTCATTGGTGCCAGTGGGGATCGAACCCGGGTTGCTCCCGTACTGTGATACCTATAACGAGCGCTAACCATGTGAGCTACCACGGCTCTCAACGACATCGTTCCGTTCGTGTACAGCGCTGAAGATAGCAAAGTAAAAAATTAGAGATTGTGGTGTTTGAAATTTGTCATCTGTGAGAGTGAATTTTATCTGTGTACTCTGTAACAAATAACTATATAGAAAAAAAATCTGAAAATGATATTTCGCCATTTTTGTTTGTGTACTGGTTAGGAACTCGATCAAAAAATTTGATAATTTTTCTGTTTTTATACGTTATTTCTAATGTTATTTTACATCAAATTAATTGTGAAGATATTTTCTTTAGGAAATATGTTTCATTACGACGATTCAAAAACGTTTACATATAATAATTTACCTCGAAATTCACTATACGCGATTATCGTTTATTGATTGTATGATGTTGTTTAAAAAGTATTCCTATCAGCTTTGTGTTAAATGGATGCTAAATATAAAAGAATGCTTCAATATTGATAGCAATTTATAAACGAAATATCTGTTGAGATGTGTCTAGAAATTATTAATACTTATTTTTATTTATTTATTAAAATAATAAATAAATAAAAATAAGTATACATTTATCTATATTGAGTACTAGTTTTTCCCCGCGATCTCGCCCGCGTGGAATTTGGATTTCATGGGTTTTAATTTTTTTTGCGCGGAACTCTAATTCTTTTTCTAAAACAAAAGTAGTTCAAGTTATTCCTTATATCATCAGCTATCTGCCAGTGAAAGTCCCGTCAAAATAGATCCAGCTGTTTCGGAGATTAGCTGGAACAAACAGACAGACAGACAGACAGACAGACAGACCGACAGACAGACAAAAATAGTACTTTCATATGCATTTAATAAAAAGCTGTTATTTTAACATTACAAACAGACACTTCAATTTTATTTATTTGTAGATATAGATATAAGATATTATTCATATTGGCCTCATTTTAAAGGTAATATCGTGAACTATTATAATAATAAAATAATTGTCTCCAGTAAATATTATACTTTTCTTGTAAAACTCGAAATAAGTAACAAATAAATACGATTTATTTTTATATTCCCATATGCTTTATTTTCATCCTTTATTTTTTATTTGACCAATTTTCTTTTAACAAAATTAAATTCTGAATTCGTTGAGCTTTTTGAGAATATTTTTTATTGAATGTTAGGTAGGTACCTATTTAGTTTTTCGGTAGTAATCGTTTTTGTTGCGACAGTCTCGCGCGGTCGTAAAAAAAAGTTACTGCGCGGACAGGTGGGACGAGAATCACTTGCGCGGCGTGGACGGTGGATAGGTAGTCTACCTACTGTTATTACCTAGATACCCACAACCTATACAACAAAATTTGGCAAACTGTCGCTGCGTCGTGGAAACTAAAATCTAAACTGCCTACCTACCTGCCTAAGTACGTCGGTACTAAGGAAACAGTCTTGACGGGTCACTTGTCTTGATAAAAACATGTGTTTACATCTAGTGATATTGTGTGTATATAAAACAAAGTAAGAAGACAGGTAAGTATTTTTGAAGACAATTTATGGGTAGGCAGAACTAATTACAATTATTATCTAAATATTATAAATGCGAAAGTTTGGATGGATAGATGTATGTTACTCAATCACAGCTGAAGGGATCTGGATGATATTTAGCTCAGAGATAGGTTATACCTGGTCTGGAATAACACATTTGATACCGTTTATTCAGGTATTTCGTTCCTGTGGGATAATTTTAGAGTTCACGCGTTTGAAGCCGCTGGCAACAGCTAGTACGGATATAAACTGCGATGACTGTTCCTGTTCATGCTTCGGCGTCGTGAACTCTTGAGTGATCACTGCATGACCACCCGGAGAAAACAAAACATAATAAAATAAGTATCTATAGTTTGTAGGTAGGTACTGCTGATTTCTCAGCAAGCGTCGAGCGGCACAGAATAGGGTGGTATGTATGTGTGCATCGTGTTCGTGTAACTTCGTTTTTGTTCTAACGATTCGGAACGCCGTACGAACAAGACGTGCGTTCTAACTGCTCTTCACTGATACTATCTCTATCGGGCACGATGCCAGGTGAGACAACGTGCTTTTTGGCCGCACCCACCAATGAGTTCGAGCCCGCGACTTGTGCCACCTTAATTATCCGAATAGTCTAGATTGAGCTAGTAACGGGATACAACAAGTGAACTGTGCCACGCCAGAGCCATCCGTTTATACAATCGAGACAAGTAGCTACACGAGCGCCACTGCAGGTGCAATGCTCAGGTATGCGGTGCACGTGTTGTTTACAATAATTCCGACTACCCACAGAGGCGCTGCGACAAATACGTTAACCCTAATACATCACGCTGGTATTCTCTGCGTGCATGATCCTTTCTCGGCCGAGCCGACCCTTTCATGCTGCAGCCATAAGATACTACAACTTAGCTTTAACTACATGATATTTAAAAAATAATGGCAGTCCTATTGTATGGCAGTGAAACATGGGCCGTAACTCAAAAGAATGTGCATACCATGCAAGTTGCCGAGATGAAGATGCTGAGGTGGATGTGCGGCGTTACCAAGCTCGACAAAATCCGCAACGAGTACGTGCGAGGAAGCTTGGGCGTGCGCGACATCGCTGACGAGATGCAGGAAAGTAGGCTGCGATAGTATGGGCACATGAAGAGGAGGCCACCCGACTACGTAGGGAACTTGGCACTACAACTTTCCATACCAGGTCGAAGATCCAGGGGCAGACCCAAAACACGATGGAAAGATGTAGTGGTAAAGGACATGAGAGAGTGCGAAGTCTCCGAAAATGAAGTCGAGGATAGAGCGAAGTGGAGGCGTAAGACAAGAAAGGCTGACCCCACCACCATCTGGGACACTTAGCCAGGAAGAGTGAGAATGGCAAAAACATGGCCTAATGCTTTTCGTCGCTAGATTTGTCCACAATTGATTCAAAATAAGAACTGAACGCACCAAGCAATTCCACTTTCAGATCCTTAACCGCCTGTGTCCCATCCATCTTCTCCTGCAGCTCCAGTAACAGCATGAACAGGCGGCCTGCTATATCGCCGAGCAGGTAACGGAGGCCTTTACCGTCCACACGGCAATAGCAATTTATTGGCGTCATCTAAAACATAGTAATAATAATGTAGAGGATATCCATAGTACGACCCAAGTAACTGATATCGCCCAATGGAACATCAGTAAGCTGAAGTGGCAATGGCCTAAAAACAGATTGAAATTATAAAATATCTAACTTTATTTTGATAGCTTTCCCCGACTTCCATTATTAAATATATGGATATCAATAATTTTTATTGCTAAAAGATTCTAAATGAGAGGACATTAACGCCGACACATGTGCTAGTCTTTATGGCACAAAATAGTTATACATAATTAAAGATGTTAAATATGAACTAGCAAAAATACGCGTACTGAGCCATCTCGATTTATCAACTTCCTACATCATTTACCTAGTCGTCACTCCATTTAATAGGGGGTGCTGTACACTTCACTTCCCGGTACGTGTCTGCCTCTCAAGAACCTTTATTCCCCATCAGTTGTTTTTTTTTTTAAATATACGGCCGGGCCATTGCTACTTCAGCCTACTTATCTGTAATAATCATGAACTCTTGCACAAATAAAATATAATTAAAATCATACCTTTATTTGTGATGGTGCAACAGCTACGTAACTCTGACCATCATGATACACTATTGATTCTTGACCGATTACAATGGCGCCCCCTAAAGGAAGAAGAAATAAAAATAAACACAAGCATATATTAGATTGGATAGAAAGAAAATGAACCAGGAGATCGCAACAACATCATTCTGCTAACAGCTAAATAAAAATAACAAACTACGGCTGCCAACCAGCTTGCCAAGCATGACAACTATGACAAATATCACACCTATTCTATAGACAACTGTGTTCAGCGGTGGATTTTTGATAAATTGAAATGGTAAATATATATATATTATCTGATATTAATAAAAGATTTTCATACAGTAAACCCTCGTTAACACGAACACGAAAAAATCAGGCAAATAGTTCGTGTTACAGGGGATTTCGTGTAATCCGAACAATGCAAAAAATTAATTCGTGTTTCTAAACTCAATATTATGATTCATCATAGAAACATTTTTATTAATAACTTTAACATTTTTATTTAACAAAGCCAAATTGTTAAGAAGCCATTGCTTTTGTTAATTAGTTTTCAAAAGTTTACAACCTTTTCAATAGCTTTTGTAAGACGGAAAGAAAATTTGAGGTATTGTTTCTATTTTGAGGTACTTTCGAGTGGTAAATGTTTGATATCCTAATCCTTTGTCTATTTTTATAAACTTGAGTTAATGACTTTTCTAATCTCTTCAGCCATTGTTTACCGATTATTGTATTGACCGAAAAGGGACAAAAAATATACAAAATACATGATTTGGGAATTTTTATAGTTTGTATTATCCGATAATTAACCGTGAAGGGACGAAAAAGTGTTCGAAGTTCGGATTAACGAGGGTTCGTCTTAACTGAACATATTTACATTGAAGCTTATGGAACTATTGTCTAGAGCAAATTTTTGTTCGCCTTAAACCAAAATTCGTGTTAACCGTGTTCGCATTAACGAGGGTTTACTGTATATAACATTATCTGCCACCAAGGCAGCGCCATTTAGAAATGAGGTTAATTATTTGATAGATGGGATAGATAGGGAAAGTATAAAGGTTATTTTTATTTCTGTAATATTAGTTATATTTTTTTTTATTGAAAATGGATAAAGCAAACAATGCATATTCCTAAAAAATATTTAATAAATGAAGTTAAAATGCAATAAATTAAAGAGCAACCACTCAGGTGTTGTTTTGCATGTGTAACTTTGTACACGTAGACAGAGAATCCTATAGACTAATGATTAGCGTGGCCTCGAGTGAGAAAGGACGATAACGTAGTTTTAGATTACACAATAATCTTTATGACTTTTAAACATATCTAGATAAAAAATTTAATTGTTCTAAGAACTGAACTGAACAAGATTCATCAATCTTAAGCTCACAAAACACTTTCTCTCTCACTTAAACTAACTTGTAAACTCATTAGATCGCTACGAACTGTCAAAGTTGTTAAGCAAAGTGTAGTTTGCTAAACAAAAAAACCGGCACGGAGAAAGGGACAAACAATCACACCGCTCTGTCTCATTTCTACGCAATACGTATGCATAAATCTATCTTTTCCGTGTGCGAATGCGAAAGAAGGCGTCAATTTGTCTATAGGTTTCTCTGTCTACATTTGTACAAATTTTCACTTATGGTGACACTGTGTAACAAATAATATCGCCTCCGTCCAACTAGCGACATTTGGTGATTGAAAAGTTACTAGTCCTCACTACAAAACTTAGACTCCATAACAGGCCACTTAGAATATCTTCGATTAATATCAGCTAAACCCCGAACATGGGGATACAAGGCAGCATCAAAGATTTTATAATCTTAAAGGTTTATTCGCCATCTATTCATCACATGGACTGTGTGCTCGATTGTCATCCAATGCTATAAACAAAAGTTCAATTTTAAATAACTAATAATTTACCTAATGGACTTGGGACCGGTATTAATATAGATGCCTCTGTTTCCACATTATCCTGCTTCCAAGGTATTTTCATAAATTCTTTATCCTTTGCGTTTATTTCGTGTGTCTGTAAAAATGGAAAAAAATTATAAATTACTTGAAGCCTTCTCCCAATGACCTTCATTCATTCATTAATTCCAGCCTATAAAAGCCAATAATAAACATAGTGAGGTCTATATTCAGGAGTGTACATATTTTTTCATTTATTATTAAATTGTACTTATATTGTTTCATAAGAGGATATTTACCAAAGTTGCTGCGCTTGGCTGGCGGTTTAGCAACCACAATTATTTTTTCTAATAAGGAAGACGCGTCTGCCTATCTCTTAGTTTGTTTCTCCCTGTCACCTCTTATGGCTCCCACGATATATCTTGTAGTGGATATTCTTACCCTGCCCCTACATGGTATTTATTAACCAGTCATATGGCAGAATAATAATTTGCCATCATACTCCTGTTGCAGTTAGTCTCCAGGGAAGAAACAAAAACTGTCTCACTATAGTGTGTGATTCTAATGATAAGAGATGTAATTAAAAATGTTAATAAAACCTAACCCACTGATAAATATCTAAATACACATTACTTGCTCAGTAATAGGCATTATAATATTAAAATTCAGGGAAGTGTACTAGGTTCTACATTGTTCCTTATTTATATCAAAGCATTAACTAACCAGTCAATATTTTTTTACGTGGTAGAGCCATTCTGCAGTTATATTAGTAGTATAGTTGTAGCATGAATGGGTCGGCTCGATCGGGGAAGAACCACGCTCTCACAGAATACCAGCGTGAAATGCTAGCTTGATGCTGCTGTTTCGTATGGTGAGTGTAGAGAACCGGAGACCCTTTTCACTAGAAATGGGGCATTCCATCTTAGCCCTCACGGGTGACAACGCATATGCATTTTGATTCGTAATTGGAGATAGATGTAGATGTCTATGGGCCACAGCAACCACTTACCATCAGGTGGACTGTGTGCTCATTTGTCACCCAATCTCATTAAAAAAAACCTAAATTTACTACACGGTTGAGTATATTCCTATGCCGATGACACCACAATAGTTTTTACGGGAAAGAATGGAGACTCGGTATTTAGATATGCTGAATCTGGTCTAATAATAGTATCAAAATGGCTCCAGAGTACCCTTCTTTCCTTTAATATTACGGAAACGAAATATGTCTGCTTTACGATTAATAGAACGCAAGCAAATAATAACAATAGTTTAAAAATACATTTTCCCACTCTTACTTTCTCCCTTACTACATAGCAATGTTTTTCAGATTCTCACTTTACCAAGGAAGTGGCGTGGTAGGGCTGCGCTGCGACCGTCATAGGGGTAGGGTTTCAAAGTTCTCCAAGAACTACTATAAAGACTTGCTGCACGGCGATTAGAGCCGTGTAACCGTAATTGGTTGGTTTTTTCCGATCAAAGTACCAAATGTCCGGTTGCTGATACACAAACTCAAACAGAGTTTTTTATAACTGGCATATATGAGATGGGTATTCAACAACCAAGGGCCGTAAGACATACACATTCATAGTTATATAACATATATTGGCTTTGTTGGTGTGTCTGTTATTTCATGTAACTTCTGAACGATTTGATCAAATGAGGTCATATTCATATACAGTTGGGCCTCAATAATCCAAGCATCCAAAATGTGTACCCTGTTTGGATGTATGCAGCATTCGAATTATAGTATGTAGACATTTTAAAAGGTATTTTAGCAATAAAACCAAACTATGTTTTAATCATTCAGAAACTGTTATAAATACGGTTAAAGGATGATGCTATTACATTATGTTTATACTTTTTTGAAGAATTCTAATAAAGTAAATTGACGGCTAGTATTTAGCGATGTTGAAAACACTTTATCCCTTAATTTACACAAAACCATTTTTTTCGGAATAGAAATGTCCACTTCATCTGCATAGTTTAGTTAGTTTAGTTTACGACGGGCTGTTTTGCGTGTGGGCAAGAATAGTGTGATTATTCGAGCCATGAAATCTCCCTGAAGAAGTTCAACAGTCTTTTGATGTTGCTGCAATTTTGGGGAGTGATCCCGGCGTGCCAAGATGTTTAGCCTTGTATGCAGCGACTTCTGAACATGTCAGCAACACGTGGGACGCCGTTTCTTCCTCCCTCATACATGCCTTGCACAGGGGATATTTGTTTTATCGAAACAATGGTTGATAGCTATGCTAGAATCTGATAGCTAGCACTGTATAGTCAAGTTATTCGTAAATTTTATATTTATGAACCAAAATGACTCATATTCACATTAACTGTTGGTTTTGGGCCAAAAAGAACACAAAACCTGGAAATGGGGAGAGTAGATGGGTTAAGTTAAAAATTATAGGTACACTCCTGAGTTAATTCGAAGTAAAAAATTTCGCACCATCTATCTGAGAGCACAACAATGTCTGCTGAGCCTGCACATTGTAGAGAATAGAGTAGAGTTATATAAATGATGAAAATCTTTGACTATAATAAACTTCTTTATTTATTGATACTCACTTTAATATGTCTTCCATTAAGATCTTGATGTATCAATATTAATGTGGGGTTTGAACAGCCATGCAAAAATTCTAAATCATAAACATTTAATTCTTCCAATCTGAAACAAACGGAGATCTCAAATAAACATTGTGTTGAGCTATCAGGATCTTCTAGTATTATTCAGATGCACATAAGCCTTTTAGACGTAGAGTTGCAGAAAATAGTACACTTCCAAACTATTGCTAGTATTATTTAAGAGATCTGGATTAAGAACATAAATCCAAAACTAACTAAAAATTGGTCAAATACACCCTGCCTTGTGAACTTTTAAGCTTTTCCAAAAGAAATCTATATCCTGTTTTAATCAAATACTTAACCAAATGTTAAGCAATACTTTGAGAGATGAGATATGGCAGGGGATTTGTTCCACTTCTTCAAACAGATTTTAATTGAAACCCAATAAAAATTTAATGTGTAGTAGCAGTGTAAGAACATACATTACTCCATATTGTCTTCTTCTTCTATTTTTATGGCGGTTTTGATCATTCATCAATGCCATTGAGTATGTTTATTGAATAGAATAGCTCAGCAGATACAAATACTCTGCCCACGTAACAAAAGATAGTGATAATACAAGTTACTCCATATTTTCCCACGAGTGTCGTAAGAGACAACAAGGGGAAACTGAAATAGGAGATTGGCCGCACCATCTTCTTGATACCAGCTAAAAATAACAAAAAACTATGATTGCCCACCCGGCCTACCAAGTATGGTAAAATCCCCCTGTAAGATAATCAATGGTGGAGGCCACAGTGTAGCTTTAGGCTGTAATGAATGGATAATAGATATAAATTTAAATAAAAATCTTAACCTTATTTGAAGCCTTCAAAACTAATATCCTGAGTCAAAACTGTTTTTATACTTATAAAAAATTTATTACAACCAACTTCAATATAAATAAAATAAGAACATCATCATGTAGTCAAGTCAATTAAATACACATTATTAAGGATAACTCAAAAACTAGTTTTAAGATCTTGATCAAATTTATATTGGAGCAAATGAGAAACATTAGCTTACAAATAAAAGAAATCATCAAAATCAGTTTATCTAGAGAAAAGTTCAGAGGTTTTCTGATTTTTTGAATGTATTAACACATAAAAAAATATAGTCAATTGAGTTCTTACTCATTTTTAGAAGTTGGTTAAAACCCTCAGTTAGAGCCAGACCAGACAGACAGACACCAATGTAATTTAAGTTTTGAATAATTTAATAAATTTGGAATGGAAAATTAATAATACAATTATATTTGTGATTATGTAGGATACTGGAGACCCTTTTTACTGAAAATGAGGCATTACATCTTAGTCCTCAGAGGTGACAATGCTTGTGCATTTTGATTCTTAATCGAAGATTAGGTTCGTAGATTAGATGTAAATGTCTATGGGCCACAGCAACCACTTATCATCAGGTGGACTGTGTGCTCATTTGTCACCCTTATTACATAAATAAAAAAATAAAACAATTATAACTTTTGTCTAATTTGTGCACATTACCTTAAACTAGCAGCTTTGAGCTCTGTGGAGTCTTTATCCAGTGGTATAATTTTAAATAATCCATCATACAATCTCAGACCAATCACCCTTGCCTGAGGGTCTATTACTGCAAGGATGCCGTTCTCTGAAGGCTTCCCAATCCGATCTGCGACATTCCCATGTGCCCTGGTGACCACTTCCAAATCTCCATTCGCTCCTGTCCTCCATTCTAGTATCATTGCATTGTAACGTGCTGTTAGAATGAACACTAAATCTTTGTTTTCATACTGAAAAATAATGAATACATTATTAATACCCAGTCAGATTAATACACTATAAGTTCCCAGGACAGAGGTATTTTCCAAACTAGTGTTAAATAAATTAAAATTAAGAGTGAAGGTCAATAAGTATTACTATATTGAATAAAAAAGTTTCAATTTAAATAGTACTGTTTGCATAAACATAAGAATAGTAATACTAATAATTTACAATTTATAGATTACTACTATTATTAATTAACGGTAGTAATATTCAAATTATTATTATTATTATATAAATATTATCAATTAAGAGCCATGGTAGCTAAAAGGCTATGCACATGCTGTAAATTTAGCAAGTAAATTTAAACAACAGGTTTGACCTCCATCAAGTTTATGTGGTAGAGCCATGCTGCAGGTATATATCTATATGCTATATATACATGCTAGCAGGTATAGTTGTAGGGTGAATGGGTCTGCTCAACCGAGGAAGAACCACACTCTTACATAACACCCAGCTTAATACTGCTTCATTTTGTAAGGGGAATATAGAGAACCCAAGACCCTATTTACTGGATATGAGGTAATCCATCTTAGTCCTCAGGGGTGGAAACACATCTGCAAATATATTTTTAAATTAAACAGGGATGGATGTAAATGTATATGGGTCACAGCATTCACTCGCCATCAGGTAGACTGTGTGCTTGTTTGCCACCCTTATTCTATAAAAAAAACTTCACCGGCACCAATTTTTCTTTATAGGATAAGGTGACAAA